AGACCCTTGTTTAATTATCAAAATCCGTCCAATCAACGACTCTTCTATCTCTGTCGGCCATAAGCAAAAAAAAACCCACTATGAAAACTTTAAATTTAAAAAAGTCAGATTCATCAAACTGATTTCAGTTTAGTTTTCCCTTTTATATGCCTCGTAAAAATGGAATATAGTATTGAATAGAGTTGTATGTAATATTGTGTTGTAAATTTAACTAGGTACATAATTGCTATAATGATGTAAACATTATTAGGTTTTGAAGTTTATCCTATTATTAACGTGTTAAACACACAATGTTTAGTTAACGCATTTCGTACGACGAAAGACGGTTGCTTTTGGTCGTCGTTGGAAATAAAACGACGACGGCAACTATGACGTCATAAAGAGCTAAAACGGTACCAGGAGTTGATGGGATGAGCGGCGGCTGCAGTAGCACACGGTTGCCGCGAGCCGGCGGCGGCTACGCGGACCATGGGACCCTGGTTAGTTTTGCGCTACAACTGAACGCTGAACGACAAACGACAGCCGCGTGTCTGCTCGATTGACACGAAAAACATGACGTGTACATGTCGTCTTCGCCAATAATATGAGCATAATTGGTTTCGATTAGAGTAAAATGTCAAAACTACGGGTTTACTCGAACCGTAATTTTGGATTTTGGTGGTTTTGCGTTAAAAACACAAAACCCGGTACCAGGGGCGCACGGGTCGAGCGGCTGCGGCGGGTGAGCGGCGGCCGCGTGCCCGTATAGTCGACCGACCGCCATGGGGCCCTGGTACCTAGGACGCTTGTTTTTCGAAAACAACAGGTGTGGTACCGCCGTGGCAACCATGAGGTATACCGGCCGCTGATAATACGCCGGCGTAGCAATGGAAAATGCCGGCCGGTGTTTGATTCGAGTTCAAACGAAACGGAGCAAAGCGAAAAAACATTTTTAAAACGTGGCGGCCATCTTTTCGTTTATCAATCGGTGCAAAGAGATGAATATTGAGTTGCGTAGCCAACTTACGGTGTATGTTTTATGTCTCCTGGTCCTATGTCTCCCAAACTATCTACACAATGGGTCCGGTTAATACATAATTGCAATTTATCGGTTTTATTTCATTTGTAACTCTAGTACGATAGATGGCGTTAGCAGGGTCTGTCTGGTGCCTAAAGGGCCTCCGGTTCTAAATCTCTAAAGGGTCCCCAAAAACAGTTTTATCTGTACATTTTATATATTTTACACAATTTTTCAGTTTTGTTTTACCCTAGCAAATTCCACATGTTGTGTGTTCAATGTCCCCGGGCTCCAACATACCGTGCCGACCCTGGGCGCTAGGTGCCTTTTGGAAATTCCTGAATTTTTCCATGGGCCAATATAACAGTGGTTTATCATACGCTGGTGGCCATCCAGTCACAGAATAACCAGAAGGCAAACCTAGGCCGGGCTGATAAGTGTCCGACATTTTAGTAGACCTTCTAGTTATTCTGTGATCCAGCTATGTTGATTCGTGTTGTGTCTAGGTATTTATTTTTAAGATAAAAATGAGAAAATGACGGCCTCCGTGTGAAAATCATTGTTTCACGTTAAGTGGCCTCTCTGATCCAATCTACTCTGTGAATATGCTTCGATAATTATTATGGCCCCGGGTACACGTCCTCTCAAAGTTACCACGTCCGCAGTTCTCGTATCCGCGTCGCGCTATAGATAAGAAATGTTGGCGTTTTCTTCCAAAAGGTGGTGAGGAGGATGTGGACAGCAATAATATTGTCGTGTCATAAGACGTGACAAATCATACTAATGTTATACTGGAAATCCTGTACTTTCTCTTGGTTTCGCACCAAAGTTAAAAATACCTATTAACGCTGTTATCAACAGTCTAGTTCTCTCGAAATTTCCATAATCCGCATACACTCTAATAGCTATCGGTATCGTGGTATATTAGGTGTAAGCGAGTCGCAGACAATAAAATAGGCTTAATAACATATTATAACAGACCTCTCGTATTCGGCGATGGAAAATTCATCGCAACGAATCGAGCATATACCACACATACATAAAGTAAAATAAAATACTGTGAGACGGGAAATCAATAGAGACAGTACAGCGCGTGAGTTTGGTGAAACCCCTGGGATTCCAGATAAAACGAAAGCCCGCAAATGCCGCTATGGCGTCTTAATAATTCGTCGTCATTGATTTTTCTTGCAGAGACGGACGGGCGGGGGGATGTGAGAGGAGAACAAAAGCAGCGGGGACCACTGCAGAGGGATTTCAGTCTCCCGGCGGGATAATCTGAGCAGCGTCGCCAGGAATTGCGAAAGTTCTAGACGATTTTACACTGTTGCCCGAATGCCTGGAGCAACCCGCGATCGTATCGCCCACGCGCCGTGCCCGTCGCCTTGGAAACCCGTTGTCTGGGGAACGGACGGACGGGCAGAAAGACGGCGGCGTCCCCTGGGGGTTGTATCCGCGCGGGTAGTCAGGGTATCGTGCCGTGGCCAATACAAATATACACTGTCATCATTATCATCATCATCACCGTCGGCAAACTCTGTGCGCACGGCCACGGTCTGCTGATAATCAATAGCCGGTCGTCTTTGGACGAGGTGCTTTCCGGCGCGCCGTTGCCAGAGTGTCGTGGCGCTGGCAGCTACAATCGGACGCGTGTCGTGGCGCGGTTTGTAATAAATCCGTGCCGAATCGCTTTTATCGCTTACACGATGAGCGAAGAAATGCAAGTGGTCGTGGAATTCGTCATCATGGGGCTGCTGATGTTTCAGCTGCTTACGTAACTAAGGAGAAGAACGCGGTAAAACGTCCGTCCAAGAAGCAGCACGTCCAAGCACCATCATCACCCCGGCATCATGTACTGCTTCCAGTGGCTGATGCCGTTGTTCCTGTTGCCGCAACCGAAGAACCGGGCCCAGCTGACCTACCACCGGATGTTCGTCATGCTGTACCTGCTCGGGTTCGTTTTGCAACGGAAACCCTGCCCGGCGTGCATAGCCCTCTTCTTGACGGCGTCACTGACGTTCTGCTATACCGGACACGGTCGTTGTGTGTTTACCGGCAACATAGATTGCGAAGCCGTTCATTGCGACACCTTTTACCTACTGCCCAAGCTGTAACGACGGCGGCCCGAACCAACCCGGTAAACGGTATTTCAAGTTTTAACTACCTACTACGTGTACTCGAGAATTGTAACAAAAAAAAATCCATCACCCCGTCCAAACCCTAAAGCGAAAACCCCACTCGCAGACTTTAAAAATCCACTCGTCCACGTGTACAACTGACATGACGTATATCATGATCGCGGCTCTCGAAAGACTAGGAATACCGCCATCGACACCGGCAATCATGAATTGATGTTGACGAATCATAATGTCGATGCTGATGGTGGTATTTCTATTTTTGTAATTTTCATGATTTATTAACACTCTTGGAATTTTTTTTTTGTGTATTCTTATCTTACCTACCTGTACTATGTATTATGTTTGTATATTTTGTTGTAATATTCTACATACTCGATTGTATCCTATCTCCATAATGTGTGTGTAGGTATATAATAATATGTTATCAATTTTGTTACGCACTAAGATTTATTTTCATTGTAACTTTTATACCATTTATTATTTGTACTTAGCGGTTGAACCCAATTTCTTTGTATTTTTAATTTTTGACGTGGAAATTATCAATTATTTTTCGATCCACACAAACACAACTGTACAAAATAATTAATATTATAACCAATATTGTCTACCGTGAGTTCTACCCATAGATGTATTGATTTATGAAAAACATTTATATACATATAATAATATTGTCTTGAAATAAATTCAAACACATACCTATCCTAAACCATACACGAAATCGTTGTTTTTTTTCTTTCGAGAAAATCCAAGGTTTCCAATCAAGGTTCGTCCAGCACACAGAGACACCGGCAAATCATAATAATTGTTTGCAAATTAGTGAGTGAAACATATTAAAATATGTTGTTTACCGCCGAACAAGTGGCAGCAGTAAATGAACTATAGCTTTTAAAAGTAATAGGGGTATGTTAACTTGCTGTAGCAGAATGTGGTAAATTACATATATACACCAGTCACAATGTGCGTGATCTAACTTAATAATTTTCAACGGATCATCATTATTCTGTGCAATGGTTTGCGAGTACACTTATTCGATATAATTGGTATGTCGAATAAAAAATAACATTTTAATACAGGGGTCGACACCGAGATGATAATAATTTCGATCCTGTTGCCAGGCAATTTAATCTGATTAAGCTCCTACCTATGTACCTATGTTAACGAAGTGACGCGGATAGTGTCACACAAAAGGCAGATTTTATTATCGCTTTGTGTGAAACGTAGCTTACAATTTATTTACTGGTATTGTACAATAAACTCGACTTTGAAATATTAAAAAAAAAAAAAAATAAGTATATTTAGAAATAAAAAATTATTTTGACGGCGGTTATAATATATAATACCACTATGACTCACACTGATTGCAGGTAGGTACATATATATGCGGGCCTATACAAAAAAAAAAGACGTTTTGTAGAGATTTAAATTTATATTTTATATTTAAAATCTCGATGCGCATCATAACACGTTAGGGATGCACAACAAGGTACTGTAAAAAAAAAAGGTCAACGGGGACGCAAGTGACCTTTTCTAAAAACGGTCGAACAATGTGGAGCGACCGACGCGGTACAAACATGGCGGGTACCGTCGCTTTGGCCGCGTCCTTTTGTGATTTTATCGATAAAAATATTTTGTTTTTTTGTTGTAGTGAATCGTGGCAACGTGGCAAGCGTCGGCTGGAGGTAGAAAATGTCCATAGCGGTGCAACGTTGCCACACTGTGAACGGTCGATAAATAATTATTATTAAGCGTCCAGCTGCCAGCTTCCCGCCCGGCGGCCCTCGCAGTTACCCGCGGATTCTGGATGCGGGTACGGGGTACTTGTATTTAATAAAAAAATAGTACAATAGGCCATAGGGCACATAATCGACGACTGCATAGATCGCACGGACTGCTGTGCTATTTAGACAGATATCTGCGTCAATCCTTAAGTGTTTATTTAGCGCTATAGATACGGTCGGGCGGTTTGAAGCTCGCCGGCGTTGTCTATAGAATCGATCAACAGTTGTCTGGTGGGCATCAGTCGTCGACTACGGTGCCGGTACACGTCTATCGAACAAGGCAAGTACATCTATCGACCCTGTTAACTAATTAACTGATTGTAAATAATTATTGGCCTCGGACAGAATATTGTCGTATTGGGTACTAAAATTACAATAATAACGCATAAACGGTAAAAATAATTTGTCGTATGTCGTTGTTTGAAGTAATACAATATATTAAGTTAATAAAATGTAATTCTAATACATATATATATATATATATATATATATATATATATATATATATAACACTATAAATAGTAATGTATGTATTATAATATAAAATTGTGTTTTGTGTAGCGATGAAAGAACTGGCGGGCGTCGATCAGGCCGTGAAAAGATTGCTGGCTAGGATCGTGGACGAAAGTCTAAAGGAGAAGGCCGAAAACCTCATCAGACAACTGGTGAGTGAATTGATAAAGACGCCGGGCGCCCTCGACGAGTTGGAGAGAGCGATCGAAAATCCGGAGACGCCGTCTCCCCGTTGCATTACTGTGCCAAAGAAAATGAGCAACATCACTTCGAAGGTAAGAACGCACAAAGTGCCAAGGCATCCGGATTTTTTAAAAACCAACAGCCCCGTGTACTACTTACGGCCTATTACTACTAGTAGTGATAGTAGTAGTGTCTAATATATTTAAAATTATAATATTCCTAGTTTTCTTATTTTTTATTATTGTTACCTGTTACTAGAACCGCAAACCTAATGATATTTGGCTCATGGCTCATTTTTGCTGTGCTATATGGCGATGGCCCGGTATTAAATGGTTCGATCTCCATTCTCTGGAAGTTTGCGAATACCCGGCCACGGCACCATTCCACGGTCTATCTAAAACAAACACAGAGCCCGTTTGCATCAACCCGTCTCATTTCAAATTTAAGGATGTCGGTAAGAAGAGTTTTTTTTTTTTACTTTCTCGTTCGTTCATCATTACATAATGTTCGGACGCCGATGATAGTCTTAGGTCATATTTTATTGTGTACAGATGTAGTATCACGACAAAACTGTACCCATATTGTACGTTTTTAATAATGTTAATTAATTGTTTTCTTTTATAGTCGAAGAAATGGTGCAGATGTGCACAGAAGCTTTTGATGATATTTTACTCAGTATACCAGAACGCATGAGACGGGGCCCTCCCAACTGAGGCCTTACTACGTCACCACAACGGGATATCGTCCATATCGCGCTTCAATTGTAATAGTTTTTTATTTTCGTTAAAAACTTCCTTGAATTTTGCTATTAGATTTAGTTTTTTTTTTTTTTTTTAGTTAATTATTTTCCATAAAATTTGTATTGCCGCGTGTAACCATTTTAATTATATTTACCATCGTTAAATGTTAATTTAAAACATAACTTTTACGTTATTTTTAAACCGTGTAATAAGTATCACCTCGAATCGTGATTAAAAAAATTTCATTCTCGACATCAAATTCACTACACATTTTTTTACCGTTTGTTTGTCAACAATATTACGTCACTTCTACAATACTGTACACCTTTGAGAAATTTATGATTTTACCCTCACTATTTTTTACCATAAGCTATCGACTATCATGTAAAATTTTACGTAATATAATATACATAAATAAATAATAATCTTTTAAATCATTTGAAACAAGTAAACCCCATTGACTATTGTTTTACTAGCAGTAGAAAGCAAATAGAAAACAATAATTGTAGTTTAATTAGTAGTGTCACAATTAATATTGTTAATGAGTAATTCTACTGATTACTAAATACTGATTTACTACTATGAAAATTGAACATTAATATTTCAAACACTCCAGTGTATTTGTTTTTAATGTGTATCTGACTGACGGCTTGTACACATCACTTACCCAAGTATAATGCACAAATAATAAGTATAATAATGATAGAAATAATTTATGTACTATGTAGTTTGATGGTTTCTAGCAGTATATCGATTCTAATTAAAAATAGATATGTGATGAGTTCCTAGAGAACAAAAAAATCCATCTATAATGCAACCTCGATACAGTAAATAACGTATTTCGATTAATTTCAAACTACTTTTGCATATTACCGAGCAATTAATAGGGTTCCATTGAAACTGTAATATTTGAACATTTAACAGAACACTAAAAAAACCTTAGAAATTGACAGTGTCAAAAAAAAAAAAAAATATATAGATAGAAAACAATCTTTAAAAAAAAAATCACTAAATAAATTATTTAAAAGTAAACGTTTATTTCATTATAATAATATCGTGGTTTTTAAGTTTAAAATAAGTAATCGTAAAAATGTGAAACTCAAGCCTTCAAATGTCAAACTAACAACAGTTAGTTTAATGTCACAAATTATTTTGATAAAAATGTGTCTCAAAATAATAATAATAATTTGATTGAAATTTATTATATACATTGTTTTTTTTAAATAATAACTTATGCGATTGCTAAACGTCTATTATGTGTTTGACGGGAAAATTATGAAAAATTTCACCTTTACCAAGTAGCGCGTTCAGAAGATTATCTAGTCCTATCGTATAAATCTTTTTTTTTGGTTAAAACCTAAAAGATATTATGAAATATAATATAAAAATGTTTACTCCGTCGTTTTCTTCCATGTAGATGAAAATTAAAATTGTATCTACAAATATTTTTGCGTTAATTCAACGTTTCAAATTTATGTTCCGATATAACATCCGTAGACATGGCTGCGTATAACAGATTTATTGCTTTGTCAAAGTTTTGAAAAATTTTAATCTTACGTATTCACTCTTGTTATCGTCACATATTTAATAAAAGCCACTCTTGTAATAGTCATCGACTAGCGTCTAGTGGACACTAGAAAATAAATTCTAATAAGTTTTTCAACACAAAATAAAACAACTAGCAACTTATAACAAGCTTATGTCAAGTTTTGTTTTTTTTTTTCTTGTTTTCAGTCTGATGATAATAATTATATATATTAGATATACCTATTTAATTGGTAAAACAATAATTGAAATAGGACGCCGGGAAGCTCGAAATAGATAAATGGGTTACCAATTTAATATTTTTGATATACTATACTTTGAGCAATAACAAATTAATGGAAACTGTAAATTGATAAATGAATAAAAAATGTGCCTATTTTACATTTGTTTTATTGTTATTTGAAAAAGGTAAATAAAAATGCACGTTTTAAAAGCAATAATAATTAGACGCATATATTTATTATTAAATTTAATTAAAATACAATACAATTAAATTTTATGCATTATTATACTAAAAAGATTGATAATATTATTCGATTACAAAAAAGTGCTTATTATATAAGAAATAAAGTGTGATATTATTCAATTACAAAAAGGTGCTTATTATATAAGAAATAAAGTGTGCATTATTAAATTCTACTACATCGTCCTATCATTAAAAATTCATCTAACCGATAAAGATTAATTTCAATATTAACCACCACGACAAGTGTTGCACAACAACAGGGTATTTATACAATCGGAATTAATGTAATGACACATGTTCGAATATACTATTCCATAAGAAACAAGTTGTAGAGTACATTATTGATTTACCGTTGTTACGTGTACATAAATACAAGTTATATATCGTTAAGGGTTGGAAACAAATAAAAGATACGTGAACGACAATAGCAATAATTATACTATGTGTTACACGTTTATTGGAATCAGCGTAAATCATTGTCTAAAATTCAATAAATGAAAGCAAGCGTGTTATATAATGTTTCGCGTATAATATATATGTAATTATATATATATATATAATTACATGCTAATACTCGAGAAATAAATATCGAGTCGTGATAAAAGTCAAATAAAAGATAAGTTAAATAAAAGTCGAATGGGAAAAAAATTCTGCTAGTAAAAATCTATTATTCAAATTGGCTAATATTATATTATATATTGTATACTAGAGTAATATTATATTATATTTTTGGAAACAAATATTAAATACACTGTGTATATCGTGCAATTGTTTTAGTAGAAAAGAAAAGTCAAGATCAAAAACACACAAAACCGTCTCCTATATGCCTATACTCGAGAAATAATTAATTAAAAAACATTGGGTTTCAACCGAATGTTTAAACGCTTGCGCCATAATGCATAATAAGCCGATTAGGACGACAACAACGATGGGCGAGAAGAACATTGCACCGTCCGATTTTGGTATGCTGAATTGCCAAAATTTTGCTCGGCCTGAGTGTGAAATCAGAAGTGTTGATCATGCATGATCCGAAAACCTTGCTAAGGGATTTTCATAGAAGCCTTCTCGAAACGCTTCGACCAATTCTTCCGACGATATTGGCATTTGTGATTCGCCTTCATTGCCCGGGTAGTTGGCTATACGTTCTCTGAATTCCCTGTTGCACAGTGCGACGGCTTGGTTTTCACATTGTAAACCATCTATCTTGTCATTCAAAGTTTTTATGGCGTATTCGACTTCCCTGAGCTTGTCCACATGACTGGTCAACTAGAAGTGAAAAACAAACAAATAACAACGACAATAGCGTGTAAAATATTTTGTTAACATTAACACAACAGCTGTCGTTGCATAACGCTAATAACGTTGGTTGTCATACTAATAGTTGCATTTTTTTTAAAAAAAATGTATTTACATTGTCGATGGATCGACACGACGGTATTTCCCGCATCCCAACCCAACGACAATGTCAAAAATTGTTTTATATTTATATTGTATGTATTAACAACGTTGCTATATGCAATATAAAAAAAAAAACACTGCGATATTATTGGAAGACTTATTCTTCTTATAAATGTAAAAAAAAATTAACGTTAAATGCAATGCGACAACCAAAGTGTCTCGAGTGCTATGGGCCATACTTCAAAGAGGCGGTTGCGATACCCCCCGATCATGGCGGCGCTCATAGAGTGCATTTGAGAATTTAATTGGAGTGCTTTCAAACTGTTGTCCAGTTGGCCTGTCAAAAAAAAAAAAAATCAGTATCCAAAATAAATAATGGTTATTAAACAATATTGTTTGTAATATAATAATTTATTTAAGTGTTGGAAATTGAACAAGAGGTAGACTTAATATATTATAATTCATAAATAATTTTACCGGAGAATAGAAAAATTTGTGTTTTTCAGGGTATTTTTTAAAGGTAGTTTTTAAAGAAAAAAAAACTATCAACATCTGATGAATAGTTGTAAAACAGCAGTTAATTCTTATAACACAAATTTGGTTTGTTTGTACTGGCAACAAATAATGCCAATGACTATAGGTTACTTGTTTAAAAAAAAAAAAAAAAAACATTCTCACTTTTATTTTCACTCTAACGTGTTTACTACGTGCAATTTGTCCGTGATTCAAATTATCTCAATTATATTATTGTGTTATTATCATAAAATTAAGTTATTATATTACTTATTGTATAACGTAATATCGCACAAAACGCTGAACGACTTACTATCTGTAAATTTAGCTTTAAAAAGTTGACGTGTCATTCTTTGGTTTTGTTGCGACAATTTGGCAAACCCGTTGACCACCTTGCCCATAGCCGTCTTAGAGTCTTCCACAGTTTTGGCATAACCCGGAAGCAAGATTTCGTTTCGGGCAACACTATATCGTAGTGCCTCTGCGCTGAAGCTTTGACCTTAAACACACACACAAACGTCATGGGCAATGAATTGATATTTGAATACGATTGGCAAATTGTAGACAAAAATGTTCAAGACAATAACTAAACGGAAATTCAATACAATCGACCAACAACACTGGCGATGTCCAATGTTGTACGTCAATTAGAATACTAATTTTTATTTTTATTAATAGTATAACTATAAGTACAATTAGTCAACAGGATATTTTGTATTTTTTTCGCCTACTTTGTTTCTGTCCAACTGTGTATTCTATAATATTATTCCGGCAATATTGTTATAATATTAGACAGTTAATAATAGTGTGGTGTGTCGGTGCTGACAAAATTATGTTTACGTACGAAACTGTTATAGCGGCAGAACAAATTTATAGCTTAATAACAGTTAAATTAAAATTATTTCACCGATCGATTACCAAAATAAAAACGATAAATAATTATTACCATAGTGGGGGTATTGCGAATAATCAAGGTATAACAAAATTACCAAATAACAATGGTGTACTCGTGTTTGACCGAGTCACAAGCAATGAGCGTATCTGGGTTAATAACAACAATAATTAGTACAATGGGTTTATATACGTACTAATTGGCAAATTCTATTGCCAACCAGTTACATAAACAAAAAATGGTACAATGACACGTCGATACAATTTATACTCAATACACTATATGAGCTAAAAATATAATAATATAATTATTGTTGTTACTGTGTGTGCGGCGGCGTTAATACGTACAGACAAACGACGGCACTGGTGGTTCACAGTCAAGATCTTGCATCGCTTCGTTTAGCTCGTCGATCATTCGATTCCAATAGGTGTTAAATTTGCTCAAAAGCACATTATCAATGTCCTTACGTTTTTGGAGATCGTTTAGTTCATACTTCACCAGCTCTACCAAATCGCCTCTTTCCTGGTGGTTCTGTTCAATGACACATTGTGATTAGCATTAATAAAAAAAAGGAACAGCATTCGCTGTACGCAAAACATTTAAAACGTCGGTAATATACACAACGACCTGCATCAGAGTGTCCACGTCCATACCACGTAAAAAATCGGCTCGGGATGGTTGTTCATCATCATCATCATCATCATCATTTTCTAACGTAAGGTCTATGTAAATGGGGTCCTCGTCAAAAAACCCCTCGGGTGGTTCCGGGTCATACCCGTCAGATAGCGAGTCGGGCTCCTCGATTTCGGGGTTTGACCCCTCGATTTCAGGGTTTGACCCCTCGATTTCAGGGTTTGACCCCTCGGGTTTCGAGTCTACCCCGTCGGGTTTTTTTTGCGGATCTGTACCGTTGGCATTGGACGAAGACATGATGTCGGGTTTGTAGGTTTTTTGTTGTCTTGCAAAAACCAGAACCGGACGACAGCTGTATTCCAACTACTCGAACAAATACAATTTTACACATACATATTATTATTATACACACAACCGTTTTTATTATTTTTATAATATAATAATAATAATAATAATATAATAATAATAATAATAATAATAATAATAATAATAATAATAATAATAATAATAATATTGGTTCAACAAAAATTGAAAAATGGTTTACGGGGGTGAAGTTTATTTATTAATATTATAACATAATATTGTATTACACGGGAATATACATACCCAAGTTTCGGTCGACCAAAATTATTGTCGTCTACAACGATAACGATGTTGTCCTGTATTCGTTGTGTGTGTGTGTGTTTTCAATATAGAAACACAATTAGGACACGACAAAAAAAATCGTCTCTTTTCTATGCGTCAACGGCAAAGACGACAACTGTGCGTATACGGTGAATTCTGTATTACTTACAATACACATACATATATATATATATATATATAAGTAAAGGCGTTTCTTCGCCCGAAAGCGGTCGATAGTCGATGGCAATTTACAAAATTCCAAATGCGCGACAAAACAATGCACACAGGTATGTCGGGCGACCATCTGTGATAACCGCGAAATGGCCGCCATTTTTTGTCGGGCGGCCGTGTATGCCGTTATATACACGGCACGAATCCGGCGCCCGCAATTGATAACACGAGTCGCCGACGCCCGACATACCTAATGTGATTTTGTCATGGCGAATTCGGCTTGGGCGGGCCTTATTGGCTCATTTGTTTTACAATATATATGTTGTCGGCGCAGTGTTGCCAACACAACTGACGCCTTACTGGGAAAATCGAATTATATTGTTATTAAAAAAAAAAAAGTTGTATTTGTGTACTCGGTAATAATTTCTATTACAGCACACGGTATGTAAATATAGCCTATAGGTACATAGTACATACATTTTATAACGAATCGTGACGTGAAATTATTATGATACACAAATTAAAATTTATAACGAAATAAATAGTAGGTATATTTTCTTTACGATGTGACTTTTGGCAAAAATACTATCGCTTAAAGGCAAGGTAATTGGCAAATAACGTTGCGCAACGCATTGATATTCAATACCACAATATTATAATATTTTTTAGTTATGTATTACCTATGTAGTAATAATGGTTTTACGTAACGAATTGAATTTAGTCGTACGGGCGGGATGAAATTGGCCGGACGGTAGATTGGTTTAAATTCAATTTCAAATAAACATTTTTTTTTTTTTTTTTGGCGATAATATTGTCGGCCGTATTACTACCTCCACGGAATACGGTATACAGTTTACAGGGACGAATTTTTCGAAGGATCGAGAACCCCCCGGAAAAGTCCGAGCCTTCTTTATGCATAATAAATAATATTATTATTGTAATAATATTATTTTATTCGCTAATCGTGTACCACCACAACAGCTGCAGGTCGAACATTTTTTGACATATTTTGACCGGGTCCACTCACCGGGTGAACACCGCAAAAGGGCGGCCGTACGCAGACGCTGCCGTTTGCACAATATTATCATCACGGGGTCGGACGCCATATTGTCAATACTGATAACCCCGGGAATCGACCTTTTTTATTATTTCTCTTATCGCGACAATAATTATTGTTGATTTTTCCTATTTCAATGTTATTTGTTGTTCGGTCGGTTAGAAATTAAAAATACAAGCCCAATAGCCGTCAAACATATAATAAGCGTTTGTCTCCGCAGTCCATGGTCAAAAACGTACAACGACCAAAATACGTTCAAATATCAGCAACCGCTGCAAAGGTCGGTAAGTAGAAAACGCCAGAGTGCTAACAGCCCCGACTGGCCGGTCTACAAAAATTATTTCCTATTGGCCACTCGAAATTAGTTCAGTTATTCGCGGCTCAGTCCTGGGACCTGTCTGTGAGTTCCACGCGCACTCAATCAAAACGATGGTACTAAATACTTATATATTTTTCTTACAGTGTGTGCCTTGTCAAGATGTCAAGCAGATGCAGGCAGAGCGGTTTGTTCCCAACAGCAGACGCGTACGCTTACAATGGTGTCAAAATGTTAACCTAATCGGACTTGCTCGGAAATGACGGATCTCTACACACACACACACACACACTCACATCGGAGTACAAAAACAAGTATGTTTACGAGTACATTAACATTGCTAGATACATTTGTATTATTCATAAATTTTAATTTAAAAAAAAAAAATATTTGGTTTTTTTTCAACTTTTATCAGCTCGACCATAGGTCTAATAACTTTTGAGATTGCACCCAAACGTGCTTATGCGCTTATGTATTTGACGGATAAGTGACAATTGTAATTATGAATAATGAAAAGTCTATCTATACTAAGTAAAGTCTATTATCTAGCTGGTATTGTATTCATTTTTTTTTTTTTTTTTTGGTATCCGGCTTAAGTTAATTTGATAATATAAGAAATGTTCAATGTGTATCGTATGTATGACCCGAAAATAAAAAACTGAAATTAAAATTGTGTCTACACATATTTTGCCTTTGATTGGATGTTTTAAATGTTTGGTCTGCGTATAACTGGATTAATTGTTTTAGCCAAATTTTGCCGTTTAAAATCGCACGTATTTACCTTTATTATCGTTCGTTTTAAACTTGAGCGTATATTATTATATAGCCTGTCATCGAATAGCGTCTAGTAAACACTTTCGAGTGCCTGTGTTTTTTTTTTTTCTACATGTTCTCAACATAAATAAGACAATTCATACTAAAGCTTGTGTATCTTTTTCTTCTCAATACCTAATCGGATAATATTAATATTTATTCGACATAATATATTTTTCCATTTAATTAGTTAATTAAATTGTAATAGGTGTTAATAGCTATGTCAAACATTGTAATATACTGTTGTGTTTGGGTATTGACATCTTAATGAAAACTGTAAAATCATATGTGATCAAAAAAGAAATGTATCTAATAATAATAATAATTTGAAATTCCAACTCGCTAATGATTTAAACAGCTGATAAAATAAATTGATTTGAATATAGTATTTAATATGTTTATATAATATGTGTTTTTTTCTTCAAATATTGTCAGATTACAAATTGTTTAGAAATAAAGTGCATTATTAAATGCCACTCCATTCACATTAAAAGATCTATATGTATCTTTGATAATTTGGATGACAATTCATCTAACACACGTGATAATAATAAATAAATCTCAAAAGATGGCCCATTAAATCGTTATCAAAAGATAAACTAGACTTGTGCTAGCCTAAAATTGAAAAGAACATATTATGTGCAATTTTAGTCAATATAACTGAATAATTTGTTTGGGTATTTTTCTCCTATATTTTTTATGGATTAAAACAATTTTTAATTAAGACATTGGAATATTAACAAATAGGTCTATTTTTTGAGATAACAGGCACATAATCGAATGCCATCACTGTGAAATTGTACGTTTGCCTTCAGTTTACTCTCGCTAAAAAAAGATAACTCTTTTCTTTTGTATTCATTAGACATTAATAACAATATAAATGTAACGCAAATATTTTACCGACTTAATAAGCTTTTTTTTTTTTTTTAATTATGTCCGTGCAAAGCAACATACCTACCACACTATCGGCAGCTCGGAATGATCATATTTCACGTTGTGCAAGATTTCGTATGTAACCCAACAATGAGCAATTCCCATCGATGTAAGTTTGTAAATTGATAATAATGTTCTTGGACAATTTTAGTGTTTTAAAATATGGCATGCAGTTCTAAAACTGCATATAACATATTATAACGATATCTAATGTATTATTTCAATTATTTAATGTCACAATGTCGTCATAAACCGCTGAGCAAACTGAACGCATAGTCCTAACGAGAGCATCGAGCCTAGCTAGATCCATTAAGCTTGTATCGGCGGCTATACAATGTGTACCCCCTTCGAATAGGAATAGTATTAATTTTGGTTAAAACATTTAATTTTCTTTCAAAATAAAACTAAAAAAACTTAAAAAAATAATACTCAATTTCTAATAGTGATGAGTAGTATTTTATTTGTTTTTTATAATTGCAACGACACTTATCACATATCCTGTAGTTTATTTATGTTATTGTTATTTTTTTTTTCTGTTCAGGTTGATCGGCCGTGTCGATGCGTGGAAAATTCACAAAATGACACAACACACTACTGAATAGGTACACAATTCGACAAGCGTGCACCCGGTTTTGGATTTGAGTTAACTTGTAATTGCGGTAAGAATAATCAAATAGTACAAAATTAATACTATCTTGCCATGACGATTTTACACTGAATATATAAAGCATTTCTTACAAATGTTTATAGATGATACCATTTTGTCAAAACAACAATTGCACAGAGTCTGGCCGGCCAATTGGAACTGTTCAGTTGTTCAACAACTCAAAACCAATGACTATAACCAACTTTTGGCGCATTTTTTTATCATAATATAACAATTTGTAAACCTGATGTTTTTTTTAAGTTTTAAATTTATTTTTCATTACCATTAAGAAAAATGTTCAAACTGACAAATAAATATATTTTTTATTTTTGAGGAAAAACAGTAATAACAAGTTTAAAAGTAATTTTTCAAACGTGTAATTGCTGTCTAAAGTGTGTAAATTATTGAAAAAAATGTCATTAAAGTAATGACGTGTAATAATAATTATAGGGAGGGAAAAATGTACTACCAAAATTGTAATGCTATATACTATTGTACTATACTATGCTGTACTGTACTATTACAATATTAGTATTAATTATATAACTATAGTATTAACTGTTAAGTATAATAATAATAGTCATTTATGTTTTAGTTTTATATTAACTGTACAAAACACCTTGCTGTGTGTTGGGAAATATGTTTTCCAAAAAATCTTTAACAATAATACAACTATTTATAGAAAAAAAAGACATTGGTCATCATAGATAATGCTACTCTTTATAATGACAGAAATGATTAATTTATTCAAGGCGGGAAAAAAAGTAAAAACGCTCAAACTTTGGGAAAACACAAAAACTGGTTCTCTGCTAATATAAACGTTATGAAAAAAATGTAAAAACCATTTCATTTTGCGTTGGAAACATTTGATCATTTCTTTTTTAGATTTTAAAATACTTATTTTATGACTTTTTGGTCATTTAAAGATTTTATTTTCCTTTTCGAACAATTTAAAAAAATGTAAATTTGCCAAATATAAAATACCTCCCTGAACTAAAAAAAAAAAAGCGAATAAGGATAAGTTGAAAAATGTATTATTGACACAATTAATTATAACCTGAATCATACAACTAAATTGCAAAGTATACCTTTTTTTTTGAACAAGCAAATCAAATATTATTATTAAGATCGTCTGTCATTGCTAATAATATTCGTTGTTCCTTAAACAACAAACTTAAACTACACTTAACCCAAACAAGGAAATAGTATCTACCTATCTATTTTTCTTTGGTTATTACTGTATATAGAAAAGAAATTTTAAACTACTCCACTGTTTTAGAACATTTCTTGCGCACCGTAAATAAAGATGGGTAACGTATACAATTTTTCTCGATTCTGATTGTTAAATATACGTAGACATTTTCTTAATTTAGTGTAAAATAAGCACGTAGACAGAGTTACAGAATTGGTATTTTATTACATTATATATTATATTTACATTATACAGTTATTGATATATGAACTTTTTGTCCGCCTTTGGTGAAGCATTAGCCAAGCCTCGCGTTAGTAGGTCAAGCGGACTATTCTTACGTCGGCGAACAATAAAAACGGGTGGCGCCGGCTGCAGCATGTTTGGCGAGCCCGACGAAATCGCACGGGGTGGTCTGCAGGTTGAAGAACCCTCGGGTCCAGCAACGTTGGGTCCGCAAAAGTTCGGATTCAGCGACTTCGGGTCCAGTGCCCACCTAGAAGGGACGATGCGGCAGGGCGTCTGTACGGTGCGGTCACTGCAGTGCGCGATGCGTGAACGGATGCGTGTACTACGGGAAATACATGTCCCGATGGACGCTATTGCGTTCAGCTTGCGTTCCGGCAGAGCTTTGGCACGACCATCGTGTCCCAACTGCACCGACGAAATCCCGCGGGATTGTCTGCAGAAACTTCGGGGACGCAAAACTCGGGGTCCAGCAACACCGGGTCCGCAAAAGTTCCAGTCCAGCGGCCACCTGGAACGGACGATGCGGCAGGGCGCCGGTATGGTGCGGTCACAGAAAGATCACTGGAATTCGGCAGTGACGCGGTCCGATATGTAGACGTCTCTTTGTATCGGCCGACATCAGTGTGCACATCATCCAGAACGTACCTATTGCGAAATACATGCCCCGACGGACGCGATCGCGTTCATCTTGCGCTCCGGCACGACCATCGTGTCCCAACTGCACCGACAAAATCCCACGGGGTTGTGTCTGCAGCTTGAAGAAACTTCGGGTCCGCAAAGCTTGGGGTCCAGCAACTCCTAGACCTTGAAGGGACGATGCAGGGCGGGGCGTCTGTATGGTGCGGTCCAGGCCGTGCACGATGCGTGAACTGAACGGATGCGTGTACACCAGGAAATACATGTCCCTATGGACGCGATCGCGTTCACCTTGCGCTCCGGCAGAGCTTTGCCACGAACTGTACCGACGAAATCCCACGGGGTTGTCTGCAGCTTCCGGTCAAACTTCCAGTACAATTGCGTGTACACCACGAAATACATGACACTGAACATGGTCAGCGTTGCACAACGTTGTACCTGCGCCCCCGGCTCTCGGCCGGGTCCACAGTACGCGTTATGCAGCGCAAGCTCCAACATCGTTGCCGAGCCAACCGTGCATAGACCGCAGCCGGTTGGCCCCCACTTTGTTGCGTGCGCAACGTTCAGCGTGGTGGCACGAAGTTGTCGTTGAGCTCGTTTGATCATGCAAACCAACAGCGTCCCGTGATCATCGGTCCTTCCTAGTCAGTCAGTCAGCCAGCCAGCCAGCCCGCTCACTTGCTCTCCTCGAACCCGAAACAACCGTTCCCTAAAAACATTTTGATCAGCATAGATGTTGAATGTTTGGTGAATATAATTTATGATGTAAATTTTCGACAAACCTCGAGAAGTACCTGGCACTCGGCGCCCGGCGTCTGAAAATGCACAACCCGGTGAATCCGTCGAGCGGCCGCGATTTCCTGTCGGCCAGACCGCCGCCGACATCACCACCACTTGGGGCTCTTCGTCGGGCGCAGGCTGCCTCGGCGCGGACTACAGCGAAGCGCGACGTGGCCCGTTCGGGCCGAACGCCGCCTCGGCTGCCTTAGCAATTTCGAATTGTTTCCTATTGAAAATCAAATTCAAAACTGAACATCAGTCCGCGATGTTGTCAAACAAGTAAACAACAATCGACACTATTATTAGCCAGTAAAAAAATAGCACAACGCAACCTCTGCACAGCCAGCAGCTAGATATAATAATAATAATAATAATTTAGATTAACTCGTTTTGCGATTGATTGACAGTTAATCAAACAAAAAATTGAAATCGCTCGGGAGATCATATTATGACATACCTATCAAGACTTGTGTGCTCGTTAACCATCGATATTGCCTATATAAAACGCCTTAAAAACCGCCCGCTTTCACAACGGCCTTAACAAAAAATAATTTTATACTCAATGTCTTGTATATGCAAATTACGCAATGAAGATTTTAAATGTTTTTCCGAAAGTTAAGTCGGCTTATTTATGCTTAAGAACTTACACAGTTAGTAGAACATGTTATTGACAAGTAAAGTTGACATATTATGACAAGTTAAGTATATTTTTATGTATAATAAAAATAGGGTCGCAGTATACGTTATTAAAAAAAAAAAAAAAAACATCAAAATACATATCTCTCTGTTGCGTTAGGATGTGGGATTACAATATGTGAGTTCAATGCTTAGTTTTAATGAAAAAATGCCTGTAAAACTCGCTATAAAAAAGTTGGAAATTTTCAATTTTTTGCATTGAAATAATTAGTTGACTAAAAATATTGCTGAAATCGTTCCACGGCCGATGCCTTGAATATTTTGTAATATGGCGAACAAATCAATTACGTTGTAGTGCAATTATTGGACTAATATAAAAAAATATCTAGTACGTTTTAATCAAAACAGTTTGCACAATTATTTTTATCCACATTGAACCATCAAAAAACAAAGTAATCCTCGTTCTTTTGTATCAGAATATATTTTCGGTTAAAATAATAACAACTGTACTATGTTTCACAACGGTTTGTCCGATCACTATAATCAGTTTTTATAGTATTATATTGTGTGTGTGCACACTGGTGTGTTGACAACTGGTAAAATTACATTAATTATAAACACTGGCGTTTCAATTGTACATTAGCCCGACACGACAATTGCACAACCGGAATTAAGTATAATTTCGAATATTACTTAAAATTACGTACAATCGCTTACATAAGTAACAAAAAATTATAGCAAAAAAAAAAAAAATGTACACATTTCAAAAAATATATTTTTATATTATAATCATTCCACGTATAAACATTTCTTATACAAAATAGACGTATCGCGATATTTTCTTAATGTACAACAGCTCAATCTGGTTTCAGTAAAAATCTTTGAAAAAAAAAAAAAAAAAAAACGCTTAATGTTAAATAATTATGTGATATTTATAATTAAGTAGTTGTTGAATTATATTAAAATATTTAACGACAACAAATATTCATATGTAGACGAGACGACAGAGCAGTATTATTGGTAAAACAATACGGCGTGAACGACATTTACACATTTCATTTAAAATAAATAAATCTGTTCAAAAACAAAATTAAACATTTAATAAATAATAATAATAAATTATAATAATGATAATGAAAAGTAATACGTTAGTATAATAAAAATTAATAATATATTTCGATAAACAAACAAAATGATGTTACATCGTATTATATAATGTGTAGCATAAAAAACATATTGTAAAAAAAAACAATACTACTCTAAATATTAAAATAACTCGAGTAAATAAAAATTTAACTATCCGTATGTCATTATAGAGTAGTAAAAAAAAAAAAACCAAAAAAAAGGTAGGAACTATTAATTTTTATTATGAGAAAATAATAAGTTGTATGGAATGGGACACAATAAACGACATCGTTTTATCTGATCTGTGATATCGTATTGACTTTTGAGCGCCACACGACGCCGGCAAACTAAATAAACAAAAAATATTCATTATCAATTTAGATTAATTATTAGCCGTTACGATTAAAGAAAAAAAGTCGTATATGGTTTTACAGTGAACAGTGACAATTGTAAAAAAAAAAATAATAAATTAAAGAAAATAATTTAACAGCATTGAATCGATAACAAAAAATATTAATATATATATATATATATATATATATTTTATAAATAAAAAAATGATTAAAACAAATGTTTTTTTTTTTCTACGAATTTATACAATCTTAAGTGTAATCTTATATTAAACGCTAAACAAAAGCCCTTTCGCCCTCTTAGTCAATCTTCTCTCTTAAACATCAGCGTACATTTTTTTTTTTTCATTTAAACATAAATTAATCGTTATTGTCAACGATATGGGCGAGGGAGAAGGGGCAGGAATTTCACATATATTCAAAAATATTATATAATTATAAATATTCAGGATTAGTCGTATAAAAAAATACGCACATTTTACGTTAAGTATTTTACAGTCATTGATTTATACATGAATATAATAATATAGTATTGTAATGTACTATATAGTATATACTTGTAAATTTTAAATATAAATTTTAATTCAGTTTACCGATTGTATTTTAATATCTGTGTTTAAAATACAAAATCACAAAATATAATACAGTTATTATTTTTTTCATTTTTCATTATAAATAAATAATTTAGTAAAAAACAATATAATTTATCGTAAGCTCTTTATTTTAAGTAATTAAACATGATAAAAGATTATAAAAAAAATGTTTTTCATTAGAGTTTGTTTAAAAAAGAAAATTTTTTTAGGAGTAAACATTTAATGAAAACAACGAATTGCGGATTACCGCCAAAGCAAGTGTAGAGTGAACCCATTTTTGTTTACTTACGTAAACTTTTAAATGGATTTATATGATATAAAAAAAAAAAAGCATAATGTATTAAGTATAGAATTGCTAGGAAAATGCAATCTAGAATTAGGCTTGAATTGAAATACGTTAATTACGAATAAAGAAACAAACGAATTCAATTATTATTATAATATGATTTCGACAAACAAGTAGCGTATACAGAAATACACACAAAATGAGAATTACAATTTGTTAACTATCGCCGAGATGAACTGTGATGGTTTAAGACTCTATATTTCTACGTAACTATAGGAGGAGGGTTCTTATGACAAGAGCACAAAATGATTTTTTTAAGAAATTTCCTAAACTAAACACGTGTGCAGTGGTATGGTTGCTCGTCGTCAGACTGGCGTAGTGAAGCTTCAGTAAATATTTTGACTTGGTTAGATAAATGTGAAACATTTAAAAGTGTGTGTGTGTGTGTGTGCGACTAGTAAGCGGCGGCCGATGTCTTTTTCACGTCATCCAAATAATGTTCTTTGAGGCCCGGTATGAGAGCCACCAACGTCCGATCTAACCACGCTATAGGATTGGGATACAAAAATCCGCCTTCGAAGAATCCAAGATGTCCACCGTGAGCCAATTCCATGTACAAAAAATTATCTTTGGTTTCTAAAAAAAAAAAAAAAACATATTAATGTATTATACGTTAAATTTTAATTAATTAATTTTTATTTTAACACGTAAGATAGATTTAATTTACACAACTAATACTACACAGCTGTTGTATACAAAAATTAATATATAATTTACACAACACACAGTATGTAAAAATTATATTGCGTGAAAATTATGCAACGCTCACTTGCGAAATTTTTTATCGGTATCAGAAGATCTTCTGGAACCAGTGGATCGTCTTTGGAATTGATAAACACCATTGGAGTGGTCACATTGTTAATGTAGTACATGCAGCTGGACCATTGGTAAAATTCGTGAAGGTTTTTGAAATTATTGACTTTTCTGTAAAATATAATTAAAAATTATTGTCGCTAATAAATTTTTTTTTTTAAATTACATTCAGAATGGTACTTAACGTAAATTCTTATGTTACTACTAAGTGTAAAACTTGTATAACAAATGTGTACATAAATGTTTTACTTGTTAATAACCTAACAAAGTTAGCCATAGCCACTCCTGGTCAATACGCCATATGCATATTATTATTAATAACCTAACCTAAACGTTTTACTTGTGACAAAAATTTAGTGTCTATTCTAAAAACGGGTTTCAATACAAAATTCTTTTTGGCACTACTGTACAATTTTTTATTAATGTAACCGTTGCAATACTGTTCGCACTCACATCGTTTGCAACGGTTAAAATGAGGGCACATGGTAAAATAGACATTTGTTTTTTTACCTTGTATAAGCGTCATCGAGTTCGGGCAGTGTAGCGGCAGATATTATGTCCTGTTCAACCAAAGAGTATCGTTCTTTAATGTCGTCGGACAGCAGTTTGCTTCTATGTTTTAGAATTAATGCTTTGGTCGCTTCCGTTAGGGCATACAAATAAAGTCTTCGGAAGTTCTGCCAGTGTAACAGCACTCCAGTTGCTCTACACAAAACGTCAAGTAAAATGAGATTTATGTAACATCGATAAAAATAAACAGTAAATTTCTAGATTCATCATCTTTGCTCATCGTTAGGGATGATGGAAAAACTCTGTTAGAGGAGTTTTGGCCTTTGCCGAAATTATGGTTTCTAAGAGTATTAGCTATCCAGGAACGGTCGTTAATCTGTCACTGGGGGAAGGAAGAAAGGCTTCTTTTCATCCGACGGTGTCATCATCAAGCAAAAAAAAAACCACCCTAGGAACTCTCTAGATTGGATGATTGTTTTTTTTTTTTTTAATGTAGTAAGATTTAAATTGCACGTGTAAGTGAAACTGTGTAAAATTTGAATGTTACTTATGGCTCACAATAATGTTGTTTAATGACTATTATTGAGTGGGCTAATATAAAACAACGTACGAAATAACTGTCGTATCTTACAATGTTTTGAAGTATACATTCTTTGTGAAGTCATTAATTTGATTTACAATCAAATTCCATTTAGATTAAGCAAATGTATTACAATATGTTAAGTTAAATGTTATTTCAACAACAAATTGTCATGTCAAAAAAAAAAAAAGAAACATTTAAAATGTTATTATTACTTTACAACAACAACAGCTGTAGAAAGTACATACAAATAGTAAAATACAGATGTAATGATGGAACATGTAAAAAGTGTACAAGAAATAATTTCATCATTGTGTTAAATATTCGTAAAAAAAAGTTTTTTACTTTTATAGTTTATAATTCTAGTTAAAAATTTTCCACCTCTTCTTCTTTCAATTAAAATAAATGTGAGTGTGTTACACCTTTATGAAAATGAACGTACCAAACAATGAATTATTTTTTTATACAAATGTAATAGGCATTTTATACACATCACGTAATATATATATATATATATATAAATATTATAGAAAATTATTATTGATGATAACAAAACAAACGGGCTTACTTTAGTGCATCATAAGGTTGGCAAATCGAAACCCCAGCAACGATGCGATCGGGTTGATTTGGCCGCGATTCTCCTAGATATTTGGTAACCAGATTACCGCCCATACTGTATCCAATGATGACGATTTTAGTTTTTGGATAATGTTCAGACAAATTGCACATCATCACATGCAGGTCTTCGGTGTGGCCTGAGTAGAAAAAAAAAAACCCATAATAATTAAATACAACAATTTTAATACAGCGTGGTTTCAATGTACGATACTACAGTACAACACTATTGAGGTACATTTTTAACTGGATGAAAACAATTTCGCATTTGGTGAGAATTGAAACTAGAAATATGTTTTTACCGTAAGTGAAAATTCTAGAGGCCGTTACTGGGACATTATGCAAAGCACCAACGTGGTTAAGCACGGCACAGCGATAGCCTTGATCCTGAGTGTAATTGACAAATGTTCGAATGTAATCGCTTTCCGAAGAGTTGCATATTCCAGGAACTATCACCACGGTAATGTCGTCTAGAAACAAACGAATAAAATATAAAACAGCTATACTCTCTAAACACAAACTGTAAAATGAGTTGTAAAATGAGTTTGATTGAAATTAAGATACACCGCATACAGAGTGTAAACGCACTCACCAAGTTCTGGGTCGATAAAGGTGGGCTTGAACAAATCGTAAGTCAGAGTGGTCCCGTCGTCTAGTATGATAAATCTCCTATCGCCTTTAGGGCACGGACACCGTACTCTTCCAAACACGCTGTACAATATGGTTTGAATGTGTCCACTAAATCCCCACAACCTTGTTGGTATATACCTGGAAAAGAAAAACGATTGTGATAGTTAGTTCTACTGGCATTTAATTGTTGTGTTATTGAGAGTACAACACTAACACTTAAGGCGGGGTTTAAGCAACGGTCATCACCTTTATCGTGCTAAACACTAGGGGGGTTTGCACAAACTTATTGAACGTGTAAAATATGTAGAAATCAAAGGACTGTGCAGCTCGGCAATTTTTTGCTCCAGGGAATTGCATGCGGTCTGTTTTTAAAGAGTTCTGTATAGGCAATATTTAGGGGGGGGGGAAAGGAAGTTTTTAATAATATTCGACCATTACAATTACAAATTAACAGTTAATTTGTATAAGTTTCAAGGTATATTTTTTTTTTTACTTTAAATCGTTTTTTCTATGAGTAAAAGTCATTTTGACCTATATTAGACCAAAAAGCTAAACAAAATTTCTACAACTTAAGACGGTTCAATTTCAACTCTGTAAAAATATCCGAGTTCCGTGGCTACTTTACCATGTAGGAAGCTGAATTTAATTTCAAAACTTCAGTTCCTTGTAATTAATTAATTAATTTTATAGTAGTCAACATTTTGTCTGGATTTTTGGTCTAAAACGTCAAGAAAACAGAAGACCACATGCAACCTTAAGCCATGCCTGAAATGAATTACACAGTCCTTCTATAACTAATCGTGTAAGCCCGCTTCAGACATTTAAGACAAATTTTATATGTGGCTATGTTGTTAACTAATTTTTAATGATTCAATGAAATATATTTAATATATATATATATATTTTTTTAATTAGTTCTCATTTGAATCTGAACTTTTGAAGTGATCAACTTTTTCAAAGTTAATTGAAAACGATTTATTCAACTATAACATAATTGAAAAATAATAAAAATGTTATGCTGTACCTATTGGTTACGATGAAATACATTTTTTACAAGTAATTTGCCCATCTTTGATTACATTACTTGAACCAATACAAGTTATAACATGATAATATTGTTTTATTAAACTTTAAACTCTATTTTTTTTTTATTAAGTATTTATGATTGAATGCTCGGTTTTCAGATGTAACATCATTACCTAATTTTAAATTATTACTACATAAGTTATTACAGGAAATAGCTAATATCATATATTTGTTATGCGTGTACCCGGCACAACAAATATACATGTAACGTTTCCCAAGGGTCAAAATGGCACGTACAATAATCAATTTTCACTAATATAATGATAATAAACTGAACATTGGCATATTATGAGCAATTCATCAGGTTACACTGAACGACGTATTGATGACTCACCGATGATATAATACCTATCTATACGTACCAAGAGGTCTGGTGACCTCATGGTTTATCTTATTAATTAACAAGTCAAAAGTAAATAATTGTTGAACAACGAAAAGCGGCAGTTTCTATAGCTATGTACATTACCCGCTTACTGATTACAAAACAAATATTATTGAATTTATAACTAATACGAGCAACAAATTGTTATAAAATCATTCAATTCAAGAGTACCTACAGAGTGCTACATCAATTTCCTTGAACTAATATTACATTGTGCTCGATACAAAATATCCGTATTATGTACATAGTTCAGACAACAGTAGATGTTGTTACGGTTTTTGTTTTTGAACGACATTATTACTAGGCGCGGCTGTGTAGAATGCAAAAATTTTGTAAATTGTTAGAGCTACTGTTAACTAACTACTGATTATACCAAACTGAAAGTTAGTTTTAATAAAAGTTTTTAAACCGACTGAAATGAGACCTAACCTAATTTATTTAAAACAATAGCTAGGTACAGGAAGAGTTCTCCATATGTTTTTTTTTACGTTTTTAAAAATATCACAATAAAACCCCCATTTATTTATTTATTCATTTTTTTTGGTACATTAGCTTTTTGTTATACTCTAAAACTAATTATCAGAGCTATTATTACAGGAACACATTTAGAGGCTACACAAATTAATTTTTTACATACAAATTTAAAAAGATTTATAATTTATAAATGATTTTGCTATACCAAAACAAAAATAGATTAACTATTTTAATAGAAATAGTACATAATAATATTTAATAGAATACAGAGTTTAGTGCACACTTTAGTCAGTAGATAATTTAGAAAATATCCAGTTCTCTACTAATATCCAACTCTATTGAATATTACCTCTGTTTTTGTAAGTAAAAAAGTAATGATTATTCATACTGAAAGTCACCGGCAATCCAATTTAACAGCTTTACTAATAGAGTATTGAACCCATTGAACACCTTTGAACCCACGATAAAATTAATTTTTTCCGTACTAGCCTAATTTGCTATAACTTTTATTTCTTGACTTTAGAAGTAGCACAATATAAATAAATATTGTCAGAAATGTAACAAAACCGCTCAAAAAAATTCCTTGACATTTTCAGCTGCTTAACATCTGAATCACAATAAGGGCACAATTTCGCTAAATTAAGTGAGGGTGTTTAAGCACTGGAAATATTAGAAAAATCCTATCTCCTCACTACTTACGGTATGAAATGCAATCAACCAATTAAAGGTGCCGATTGTAAATCTAGGGGTGTTAACTGTACAATTGACCTTCTTCCAAATTACAACTATGCTTAATGATGACACCCGAGTTGTAATCGTCACCTATTGCTGTGACTATGGGCTTGAGCATTAATTGCAAGGGCGACGAGTTGAAAACTTACGGTTCGTCAAGATGAGGCGCCCACTTCATGAGCTTGTTCAAAAACAATTTGTTCTTGCAGTAGAACAGCGGTTTTTGCGGTTGACTGGACGCGTTGAGCATGCGAAACACGAGCACCAGGAACACCGCTATGGCCGTCAACACGGCGGCCGACATGCTGATGTCTTGTTGGCCGGCGAAGCTTATCGTCGTAAGCACGTCGATCGCCACTACAGCGGCAGTGTTATCGTCGATGATTGTCGTCGGGGATTGTCCTGCAGCATCGGATTCAATCATGAGACCGTCGCAACGCGCGCCGATGACGAACGAAACAATATTGCGGATTTTACTTGAGAAAACAAAATACAGAATATTGACCTCACCCAGGTGTAAGCCGGACGGATGTAATAATTACAAGAATAATTATATATTAGTAATAAAGCGTTTCAAAGCGTTCGCCGACTGCGTTATCTTGCTGATAAGACGGCAAAAAAACGTTTAGTATTTTTTTTTTACACGAGCAGAAAAAAAAAACCCCGATACGAATCGTACACAAGACGGTCGCGAAACGAATTGGGTACAAGTTATTACTTATTATTATTATTATTGTGTACACAATATACCCGACAACCGATCGCAGTCGATTATTGAGCGAAAAAAAAAAAAAGGTCTTATGGATGAATCATTACTTTGGTCGTACACACGGCGGACGGGTAAAAAATATTTGAATATTATTCTTGTCTCTTTGATGTACAAATTACTGTAGTATTGATAATATAATAATAACAGTAAACGGATAGGGTACGGCCGATTCCGGTGGTGATAATGATGCGAAAATTTCCAGCGATAGGTATAAAAAAAAAAACGCACCTTTACGACGCGTGTGTGCAAACAATAACAGCTATTGTATTATTATCTTCGGTTAAAATAAACAGCTATAATATAATGTGAAAAAAAAAAAGGTAAACAACAAAAATTAGCGAAATAAAAAAAAAATTATCAATACCATCGACGCGGATAGTGTATGTGCGTGGGCCATCGACGACGGCACTATAGACGAGGCGGACACGGGGAAATGTGTCAATTTGTCGGCGGTCGGCCGCCGTCGGTTTTATCAGTGGTTCCCCTCGAGCCCGTCCTCGCCGCCGCCGCCGTACAGCATCCGGTGCCGCCGGCCGCCGCCGCAGGTACCGCACTGGCGGCCAGATGGCGTTCGGGTGCGCGCAACGAATTTTCGACGGGACGGCGGCCGAGGAGAACCCCTTGCCCGCCGGAGCCATGCCCGCCAGGGTCGTTTGGGATCTTATCGCGTTTTTCCGAATAATTCAAAAATAATTGTTTTTTTTTTTACTTTATTTCCGTTTATTTATACTCGACCGACGACGCTACACGTCTCGGCCTCGACCTTATTGGCGAATCGCGATGGCCGACGACCGTGTATGATAAAAATATTGTTATATTGTTATATTATTCTGTATGTAGGTAGGTACTTACCATAAAAGATAATAAAAAAAAACACAAAAACAACAACGAAGGCGATACGAGTTTTAGAACGGCGTTCTGGGCAAGTGTCCGTCGTACATAATAATATTATATTTTATCGAATACTTTGCAAACGAACGATAATAAAACCGGAAATCAGTCTCGAGTAGAGGTAACTTTGCCGTTTTAACGGGAAAAAAAAGTCGTTAAAATGTTTTTTCCGATCTATTTGATTTTCGAAAATAGTAGGACAACTATAGTAGCTAATTTTTTAATAGGTACCTAATTAATTGAAGACTAAGCGCAAACAGAGAAAATATGTAGTTCATATTCAGCATGAATTAACACGAGGTTTAAATTAAAAGAAAAATAATTGATTGGACCCTAAACTTGATTTTTTCGAAGTCTTATTTGACTAGTTTATGTAAACGAGTAATAATGACGTTCCCACCTACTGTTGCACGCGGTCCGCATTTCAATAAGAAAGCTATATGGTAAAAAGTCTGAAAAATCAACTTATTTTAATTTATATTAGGTTTGAGGAATAATTTGTATCGTTCAAATATTTTATACAAGCTGTAGAAACCCCTGGGCAATTTGTATTTACCGTACCGAATATTTTTTCAATTGAAATACATTTTTATTTGATACATATTTAATAATTTTAATAATAATTAATAAGTAATTCAACTAATTCATTATTTTAATATATATATGTTTTAAATAACTTCATAAAATTATAACAGCACCCGTTTGTAGGTATTATAAAAACATCTTTTCAAAACAATTTTTAAGCAGATAAAAATATCTTAATGTGAACTTTCAATAACTTTTTAACTTGATTATTATTTCATTTGTGTTTATTAAATAAATAATTATTCATTAGATCTTGGTTCCAATAGAAATACAAGACGTGTATTTATCATTTTCGTTTTTAATTTAAATTCGGTTTTTTTTATTTTTAATAATTATTTGGATTTTTATTTAAAAATGTTCATGTTTTGAGTAGGTTAAAATGTCAATAACGGAAAAAACAATTACGCCTCGTAGTTGTTGGAATTTGATATTAATTTTTTTTTTTAAAACTGATTTTTTATTCATACAGCAAAAATGTAATTCCAACATGCAAAAAAAACTATACATTCAAAATAGAAATACAATTTTTTCAAATCTTTGGCCAGTGCGGACTATAAAAAGTCTTAATTCTTAAAAAAAAAAATATATATATATATATGAATAGCAAAATAAGATTACACTACGAGATGTCATTGTTTTCTCCGTCAAGTGCGAACCACTTTGGTCTTAACGCCCATTAGATTTTTCGCGAGAAAGCGTGAGAAGTTTTCATAGATTATCATCGCAGTATTTAATTTGATTTTAATCAATTTTACTTGCACAAAACAACCCAAGTGTGGGCTATACAGTGAAAATAGGTTATAACAAAATTAAAAAGGGAAAACAAAATTGTTTGCTCTATAAGCCTGATTTTATTGTATCAAGCCACTTTGCTTCATTATGGTCGTTTAATTTTTGTTTGTTTTTACGAATATTTTATCATAACCGTCACAAGGTGTGATTTTCACTTTTTATTTTCAACTATTTTACTCGCGTGAATGAGTAACTTTATACTTATCGTGTTAATTGCGCTCAAAAATATCTATTATATTTTACATTATGCAATTACTACTACTAATGTAATGTGTAAAAATATGCCCATAGGGCACTCATTAGGTAGGCACCGTAGGCCAGATATTTCCATCGTCTTTCTATAAAGTGATTTACAAAAGTGTTGGCACTTTGTCACTCGTTTTGGTACTTTGTAGGAAGTATTGGGTGTGCCCGAAGGTTATAAAATAAAAAACGATGCTTTTAAGTGTCATCTGACTCATCGCCAGTGCTACTGCGTATATAGTTTAAAATAATTATTACTTGGTTAAAAAAATATGAACCATGAATCTTAAAAGCATAGTATATAATATATGATATATTGTATACTTATGTGTTCCTCTACACCACATACATAAAATAAGTACCTAATACCTATATAATAATAATAAGATTATATATATTTTATGGTATAATATTATGTTTTCGTGTAAAAACATCATTATTTGTGAAAAAGAATAAAAATAATTCGCTACACATAAATAGATATAATGTATAGATATTTTTTTTTTTATTAAGATCCAAGCATCAGCGAATTCCATTATATTGTATGACGTACTGTGTACATTCAATAGCTTAGGTCGGAACACCTAATCCAAGGCCGTGCTATACGGTCATTGTATCTCTTTATACACACTGTATTGTGGTAATGGAGACTGTAATATTTTGTCATTTGACAATCGCGCATCACGTAAATCAATATGCAATGTTATTATATGTAAAAAAAATACATATTTTGCGGACGCATAACATAACACGATTAATTGTGGAATAAATTGTAAATTGGATTACAAAAGAATCCACGAAATCGCAGAAAGGACATTAGTCAAAATGACCGCAATTAACCGGAGCCCACACTTTACATAAATGTATTTTTTATGGACGGGTACAATTTAATTTGCAGTAGAGACTTCAGTAGAACCCCGAGGTGTACGGCTATAACATTGCAAGACTTAAACGTTGGCATAAATAATAAATATCTTTATAACAAAATCAAATTTAATATCGAAAACCAACCGTCAACCAACTGCCTAAAAACTTTCAACTCAGTATAGTTAAACTTTGAGCGTTTTATTTATAACTGAAATATGATGTCATATTTTTTAAATGTTTACACAAATAATGAAGTATACATGCAAGCAATCTAAAAAAAAAAAAAAAAATGGGAAAATCGTCGAAATAGTAAATGTGTACCTACGTGTAATTAATAACTAAAATAGACTAATGCCCTTTCTAAATTTTGTGGATTCATTAATCAGTAGTAATGAATTGTAATATATAATACAATTTTAGTACATATAAAAAAAATCATTAAGTTTTTACAAAAAAAAAACAATTTGACTACTATAATAATATAATACATAAACATAATTTCTGCATATTTGTATAGTGTCTGTTAATTTTTGCTCGTACACGAAATCAGCTAGATAATAACATTTTTAGCCATAGGCGGGCTGAATTATGTATCTATATACTACTCAAATAGCATAGCTACCCAAATCAAGGGTTAGATTAAATGCAATTTAGTTTCTAGGCGAATTTTGCAAAGAGAACTTAAAAATATTTCAGAGAGTTTAACCTCTCTCCCTCCCCACCATTATTTACGCCTATAGGGGTCATTCTGCCAACATCTCGATACATTTTAATCACACATCTTATTCTCAGAGTTATCATAAACAAACAATAATATTTAATTATTTATTATCTATTTTGTTTATTATTAGTTATTAGCGTTTTTTTTTAAATATTATAATATTAAACTCATATAATATAGTTGTTGGATGTTTAGTCTGTGTCACAATAAAACATAAATTTTACTTAATTTGAAAATCGTCGTTCGGATTCGCAATAAACTACAAATTATTTATAATATATTATAGTCTTATGTTTTAGTTATTATTGTTTCCCATTAACGACGCACGTCTTCATGTGAGAATAACGGGACCATTAAACTGGACCAACTATTGAAAAAAAAAAAACTAGTCAAAACGCGTTCCGTTCGAAGTTTGTCCACATAACGGCACACGATACCGAGAAAATATGGTCATTGCAGCGGCCACACTATTATATTGCGAAGAGTGCAGATAGCAAGTACCTACTTACACATACAATGTAATATGTGATATTATAAGAAATGAAAAACCGATATATAATTATTCGAACTTTATTATTTTGACCACGTAACATAGTAAGTATGATAATTTTGGGAATTTTCAGACACTACTTGTTGTTAAAAACGGCAATTATAGATTTCGGCGTACAGACGGTCGTACCGCCGTCAAGTATAACTATGATCGTATCACACTTATGTGTGTGTGTGTGTGTGTGTGTGTGTGTGTGTGTGTGTGTGTGTGTGTGTGTGTGTGTATACATAATATGATGAGATGGTATCATAAACGATAGAGATCTTGGCGAGTTTGTCGTGTAGATATTGTGTTGTCGACGGTGGTCACTGGGTCCCCTCTCAAAACGGCCAAAACCAAAAGCCCGTGTCCACGTCCTTGTAGAAATCCACGTATTCGTCTTGGCCGGCCGAGTTCCATCGGTATATCCTGTCGAATTTCTCCATGTTGGCCCGGGCCTTTGCCGGGGTCACTTGCTGTTTTCGCAGCTGGTCCAATTGCTTTTGCACGTCCGCGTCCAGCCCCATGTAGTTGGCCCGCAACGACCGTTTCACGGCGCCGCCAATCTTGTCGCTCTTCAACTGTTCCAGCTGTGTAAATCAGACGCAGAGTATTATGTATAGTATACCGGAAGACACGAAGACCGGCCGAAATGTTTTTGTAATGTTGGCGTTTTGGCCTTTTTGGTTCGGGTGGGAAAAACCCCGAGCGAAAGTCCAAACCGACGTCCGACCACTAGTCTACCCGAAGAGGACCTGATGGGGTTACAGGTAAAAGTTCACGGGACAGTATCTCAAGGTGAATTTATAAATCAGCACACACCATTAGCGGCGACCGTTTTATGGCGTAATTAATTTGCCTGCCTCTCTCGATCGTTTTCACAGTTTTTTACCGTTGTGTAGAACGTATCAAGGTTAACAAACGTAACTAGGTAATCGCCAAGTTTGGTTTCGTTTTTCGCTCGGATGTTCCACGACAAGGAAATTATATATATACACTATAATACAATTAGTAAACAATACAATACACAGTCAAAGTATACTACGTAGTAAGTACTATTTCGGATCGTACGGAAAAATATGATACGGAAGTTCTAATCTACATAAGATTAGCGAGGCACACGGGTGTTTCAAAAACGTATTTTTATTGGCAAATACCCGATGAAGTCGCCCGTCGACTCGTTAGGCATTATTGCCTGGCCTCGTTGACGTTAAACAATAAACAAGGAAGGAAATTATGTGTTTTAAGATCTAAGACCACTGTCCTATGTACTGGCACGTCAAACTCTTTACTAGGCAACAGGCATGCGAATAGGCAACATCGTCCCGTTGTGTAAACAGAGAACGTTTTCAATGAATTTCCAACTATTGAAAAGGGGGGTCGTTTAAAATTATTTTTTGAAGCGAGCAAGCCTTTTGGCGGGTATCGACTGCCGGTTTCCGTACGATCCGAACGGGCGTTGCGACCGTTTTAGACGTGATCGTATACCAACGAATCCGTAACCACAGGACTAACCTCGGGAAAATAGAGAAAATCCGAAATACTATTCTTGTGTGCGCAGAATAAAACCAACCTTTTCGCTGATTTTTAGCCGTAACTGTTGCAGGGCGGTCCTTACCCGTTCGTCGGACCAGTGGTCTTGGGGGGCCGAGAGCGACCTCGGGCCCGACCGATTGCTCGAGTACCTGCTGTTCGTGCCGCACCGGTTCTTCGGCATGTAGTTCTCCAGGCATTGGCACGGTTTTTTCACGCTGCACCCGCACGCGCCCAGGTCGTCCTTGCACCGGTATCCCGGGCACCCCACCCGGCTTTGGCCCCGGCCGGGATGCTCGTCGATGCAGTTGTACTTCCGCACGGATATCAGCTTCTTGGTGTGGAGCTGGAAGTCGCGCAGCGCCGACTTGTTGGGAGCGCTCGACGACCGTTGGTGCGACGTCCAGCCTCCTCTATAGTTGTCCATATAACGTCGGTAGTGTCAAACGGCAATGTACACGGCGAATTTTAATTTCATTTGCTTCTTGTACGACGCAATTGTGTAAGAATCCAAAAAAAAAAACCAACCGTTTTTTTATCAACAACCGGCGGCGGCTATGACGACTACATCCGTCGTCAATCAAACACCTTCTCGCCTTTTCTAAGTTGCTTTTGGCCGTCCGCCGCCGGTCTTCGCACCATCGAATCTCTCTTGGCCGCCTGATAAAGTCCACGGCACGCCCCATAGTTGTCGCAGCCTGATGTACCCATGTGTATGAGCACCGCCGCAATTATTTCAACAACAATGTCTGGCCAAATATAACCGGCGATCCGGTACGTGACCTACCCTAGGTACCGGGAAGTTCAAAGTTCGTGGACGGGCGGATGAGGTGCATGAAAATGGTCTTTCTTAGGCTTATTTTGATTACACACGACAATATCTTTGTGTTATTTCAGAGGCATGCATTGGCACAGAAGGAACTGTTTTAAAAATAATTTATAGTGGATTGGCGCATTCGGGGGTAATAGCTGCGTTCCATTTTGGAGTCCAGTAAAATTAACTAACGTCGACCAGACGCACGAGAAAAAAATCGCCTCTTTCATTCTCAACTGGATTTGTAATATTTTATAATCGTAGGAAAGGCGTTCGTTTTAGTTCATATTGTTATTGTTTTATTTGTTTGATGTTTTTCAAGAAAAAAATAACACTAGTACCAAACATTTTAATAAAAAACCTTAACTGGTTTAGCGGACAGTACTTAAGAAGGATGCAAACATTTTTTTAAATATCATTTATTTATTATTTTTAATTTAATTACAATCGAACAGAGTATAAAAAAGGCTACATAGCTATTAAATTAAAAAAAAAAAAATTTTAATTATTACAAATATAACTGTAAAAAATCGAAAAACCCCGAAGAATAACTATCTCAATGCGCATTCTTAGTTTATACTGCGTGAATTCGGATGACTGTAATATAATGAAAAGTGAATATAATGTAAAATATGCAAAAATTCACTTAAATGCCAAACGTGAATTAATAAAAATAAATATTAAGTATCTATTAATAATGTTTAATATTTTATAATGTTTATAGACTATACCTAGTTGTTTGTTAAACAAATACACGAGATCAAATATAGGCACAGGTTAAAATTATTGGGTAAAGTTCATTGGTTTTATTTGATAACTTTTATTGGACAGACATTATAACATTATATATCAGTTAATATAAGTTTTAATTTAATAAAGAGTTCAATTGTGATCAGGGTGACTACACCTAACCTAACCACGGAAGAACTCACACAAAAGTCAACGTCACAACTTAGAAGCCATAACTTGTTAGATGTATTATCGACGTAAAAATGATGTTTTTTCAATAAAAAGGTATTGTTTTTCCCATCTAACAAACGACATTGTTAAACTCGCAATCGAATAAACGAGATCAGTGTCATTACTTTACTGCAACTATATAATTATTGTTGTTCAAATCAAATAATCTTAGTGAAGTCATCATAGTAAACGCTTGGCTTTTATTACTGTTTTGTAAATTATCGATTTGCAAGCTTAGCACCGTATAAACGCTGCACAATATAAACGAATGGTACAATACAAACGCTTTTGGATTTTTAATTTCAACAATTGATACGTTTTACAATTTTTTTTTTTTTTATATACTTTTTTCATTTGACAATTATTTTAGACATTTAATAATTGATAAATTCATCATTAAGAAATTGTATCAATCTTGTTTCAATAGAGAATCCAGGTTTTTGGATTTCTATGGCAATAGGTTATAGGTATAACAATTAACATGTATAGTATACTAATATAATATTCTAACTATCTATACTTATCTATCTAGCATATTGAAAAAAAACAAAATCGAGGCATGTAAATTTGTAATTTGTCATTATGTTTCGTCAAATAATATGTTAGTTTAGAATAGGTAAAGAAAATAACTTCACAAAAATGTGCATATTTTCTTGATTGACATTAGTTTTATATCTATATTGCGCTTATAGTACAAACTTGATACTAACTAGATAATGGTTTCTATTGATATAGTCATCGTCTTGACCCAACTTTGATTATATATTACTAGGACGGTTGAAAAACAAAAAGCATTTTTGTGTTAGCACTTAATATTTTATAGTAATTTTTTTTTTTTACTATGAAACCGTTTTTTTTGTTAATTCCAAGTAATGATATCATTCGCATCGTAGCATCTTTTGAGAGTGATTTAACAATCCTTGTAAATTAATTCAAACATTTTATACATAATATTTTTACCTATTATTTTTTGCTTGTAATTTTTTGATACGATGGGATAATATCTCTTTAGGCATAACTATAAAATATTTCGGATGCGTGCGGATTGTGTTGATTTTTTTCATTTAATTGTTTTCTTACCACCACACCTATAAATGTGTAATAATATAAAACAATCGAAACTAGTTGCCATATAATATGCTGTACGTGTGTTCGTCACGCGAGTCGTGACAAGTATAACAATTATGGCCATTTTCTGTATAGGTACATGTGTAAATTGATACACCGGTAAACTATTCTATACCGAGTAAAGTAAGGACACTTATCGTCACCATATTATTGTGTTGGTTAATGGAATTAAATTTTCGTTCGTGACGCCGCCTATATTGGCGGTGGCGTCGTTTCAATGTCAAAACAATATGTCTATATGAACAGTAGTCAGTCGGTTGACATGTAACACTGTCGTTTGGCCTTGTCCCTCGGTGAATTCTACGTTATAATAACCATCACAATATAATATTAATATGTAATCAAAGTACATTCATACAAAAACGTAGCACATAATACGAAGGGCGACGGCATCTTGTGATCAAAATAATATAAGTACCATTTTATTTTGATTCGCCGTGAATTCTTACCCAACACACAGCTGTCCATAATATTATTATATTGTACGGTATACTTGTTTTTAGGTAAATACAATATATATTCACCTAACCTAACCTAACCGATCCAACCTAACCGAAGTCAATCCATGTTGTAGATTTTTACCCGTAGGCATACATAAATTGCATTCTCTTATCACAACGGTCGTCTTAGTAGGCTAATACAATAGGGTTGAGTGCATGTATAGAGTGTATTCTAAAGACAGATTTTGACCTAGTCCTAGTAATCCGGTCGACTGTTTGGGTGTCATCCGGCTTAACCGGTACTCGTTTGGAGCCAAGTCAGACGATTTGGCCAATTCGTGTGGAATCAATCGTGTGTCTGCTTTACACTTGACGGGCACAGCCGACAAATAACCATATACCATCGCGTCCAAAACCAAATCTAACAATTTAATTCAATCGAGGATATCGATAAAAAATAACATCAACAACGTCATAAAAAAATGAACTTACCATACGGTATACGGGTTGAGGCTAACAAAAAAAAAAAGGCACGTGCATATTAGTTGAAATTTGTATTTTAATTAATCGACTAAAGTGTCGACTTGTGTCGGCTCGGAGTAAATGAAAAACAAAAATATGTCATCGCCGCCGTTTAGGTTAGGTTTGTGTGTACAACAAAATGTCGTGCACATTACTGTTTGGACAGCTTGTACGCAACATGTACGGTGGTGACTAATGCGAGAGTGTTTTGTGCGCCAGAATGCACAGCTCGTCGGGAAAAATAATGTTCAGTGCGAATACGACGTGGTGTTAACAGTAGTAGTTTTGGCGGTCGGCGAACGTTTTCTGAAACTAGCAAAAATAAATAATAATAAGAATTCGCTCGGCTACTTTACTTTTACCACTCGGATGTGCTCGGACGATCGTCAAGACTTCGAACCGGTTGCTGCTCGCTGTGCTTGCACGGTTGACTTGTGAGGCTCGCCGGAAATAAGAACAATAAGACCCGGCCCCCGACACACGATGACTTGACGACGTGGTTACAACGGCGGACAAAAGACACGACAGATAAAGTAAAAAAAAAAAAAAAAAATTGTATAAAAACCAAAAACAACACTAATAAAAAAGCGTTGCCCGCATCCCGGTCGTCGGACGTGCGGACGATGAGCGAATCGCGGCTGGAAGACTTGTTCCACGAGTGCGACCGCACCGGACAGGGCCGGATAGGCCCGAAAGAGTTCCAGGAGCTATGCGCCAACTTCGACATAGGCGTCACCGACGCCGACGTGATATTCACCGACCTGGACAGGGACGGCGACGGCCAGATTTGCCTGGAAGACTTCGCGTGGGGATTCCGGGACTTCTTGGCGCCGGACAAGCCCGCTCGGAGCGCGGCCAGTGCGCGGCAGTCGCAGGACCCGGGAGGCCGCAGGGAATCGCGGGCCGCCTGGTCGCACTTCGTGTCCACCATAGGCGAACCCGCGGTGCAGAAACTGTTCCAGACCAGGTAAACCCGACGGCGGTCCCCGTTGAACCCGTTGATTAACTCTGGACAAATAAAACGATAATATTGCATCGAAGGGTTGCCCATAAAACCTCCTCCCCCCCTATAAAAGGGTTGCCATACAATATTTGACTTAAAAACCGATACATGGTCTTAGGGTTTTTATTCTACCGTGATCTCCTCCCAGACTGCACTCCTATCTCTTAATATAATCTTATGCGATACCAGTCGACACTTAAACAGGCAGAAGCCGCCGCCGATTTATCGCGAGATAACAACGACACCTAAAGCAATTACGTTGTTATTTTTTTTTTCTATAATAATTATTGTTATGCGTGCAGCTGTTTTGCAACACATGACACGCATAATCGCGGTGCCAACTCATAACAGCTTTTTCCTAACCGTACCCATAGGTAGCTACAACCCTAACCCGCAACACCCACAAAAAAGAACCATTAAAATCTTAATCGAAACACAACCGACATCAACTTCAACGTCGTCTAATGTTTTTTTTTCAACAAGTGTTAACAATAACTTTTAGCAAAACAAATGGATTAAGTTTTGCTAAATATTGCATTTTGGTTCTCTTACCATATGATTTTCAAAGTAATATGAAACGATAAGCTCTTTTGGTTTTCCGCTTTTTCAATCTACCTACATGACCATTATTCGTGTTTTTATAGGTTAGCTGTTGTTTTCTTGATTACATGTTTAACTGATAACATAACCTATAGAACTAGGAATAAGAAAATAATTTTTTTTTTTGTGAAACTTCGAACTAAATCTCCTTTTGATTGGTTAATTCACTAATGGGGGGATTCCATACGACATTTCCAATACTCTACGCTTATGGCCTTGACCTTAAACAAACAAAAATATTATGCGATCCGTTTAGTATGCCATCAAATTTGTACCACAAGTGTTTTTTTTACCAAAAATATGTTGATCAAACAGTCCTATATTAGGTATCGATTCTTGTTATCTACAACGCCGACTTTATTTTATTTGACTAATACATTTGACTCTTTATATTCTATACTTGCCGTTAATGACCTTCAAAATAGCCGTTGGGTGTATAATTGTTTATTTTAGCGAATTCCTTTAAGGAAAACTCAGTATTAAAATCGTGAACATTTTCATATATATCGGTTTTGACGATACTTTACGCTCAAAAAAAAATGTATATGGTAAAAACCGATACACGCAATGTACTTAAAATAACAGGTTACACAGTAATATTTATTGCAATATGTTTGTAAAAAAATAAGCTATTGTACTAATGTCATAATAAATTACAAAGGTATATGTATCCACGTATAATTTGTATAATATAGGTACTAGCAAAAATAAGTGTTTTTTTATTACTCATTTTCTATAATTATATTTTTTTGTGCATTTAAAAATCAAAAAATCAATAATGACAAATTAGGTTCTAGCGATTCGTAGTAAGTTAATTAAAAAATCCGATAAAATGTGTGCAATTCGTTTTTAGCTTGAATTATAGAAATCGGTCTTTGATATTAGCTTGATCAACCTCTTATGTGTGTGTGCAGTACACAGTCTATTCTACACCACACAGTACAATTCCAAAAACTTGTCGTAATCATTCGTACTTTAGGAGATACCGATAAATTTCAGCAAATTTTCCATTAATTTTTTTATATATTACGCACACACAAATATAACGTACCTACGTGTTATGAGTGTTTGGTAAAACATATTTTATGTGGTTGCTACTTGTAGTTAAATATTAATAAGTATTCCCTTTAAGTAGTGAAAAATGCTAAAATAAAATTGATTTAAAAAAAAAAAACAGATAAATAATTGTGGTAAAAAAATCGTTTCAAGTTTCAACAATAGTATGCATTTATTGAAATATTTTCTTATTGTTGAACAAAGACTGATGCATTTATTGAAATGTTTTTCTTATTTTTGAATAAAGACTGATTTAAAAAACTCTATTATTTTATCTATCTATGCACTTGGAAGGTTTGTGGTTACGGTTTACGGACTAAGGCCTTACGATTAGGACTTGCGGGCGGAGACCTTATAGACCACTCCTCTGGTACTGTGGTACCGGATTGCTTTGGCTGAACGGTTTGTCTATTGTCCGAATTGTTGTTTTCAGCGGGAAAAAACTAGCCGATTTGTATTTGGAAATCCAGAACTGTAGTCCGACGCCAGAGCTGATAACGCAATTCGAGGGGGCGCTCACCTCGTTGATGGATGATGTGAAACGTTTACACGACGACAACGAAAAGCTCGAAGACATGTTCAACCGGTAAGGATAGGGGTGATAGGGGGGGGGGGCGGGGTGACTCGGGCCTGACGTTCAATGCTCGTTTAACCGCCAAGGGATCGTTGTTGTGTTTCAGGGAGAGGCAAACGCACATGCTGAGACTTCGAGGTTTGGAAGAAGAGATTGACGCGCAGGTGGCCAAAGTCGAAGCTCAGGCCAGGGACGAAGCCAGGGAGAAATTTGAATTCGAAAAGAGAGAGCTGATGAAGAAAATGGAGGCCGAGACGATTGAATTGAAAACGCATTTGAAACTGTTTCAAAAGGTGAAACTGTCACTCGACCCGAAATATCTCGCATATGTTTTCTCGCATTTAGTTTCTTATGTATTAGTATACTAGGTGGTTAAGTTTGATCTGCATCAAAAAATGTTTTTATACGTGGTAAATGATGAAAACTGCAGAAAAGTATTGTCAAACTAGCTTGCAGTGTTTACCCTGTACAGTTCTTTATGTATTATTTACTACTACTTACTACAGCTCCTACTTACTATTTTGAAGTTTATGCGCTCAGAGATTATTACGAAACTTTTGTTCGACTATGGTTACAGGTGAACACGGTGCTAAGTCAGAAGAAAGGCGACAAAACCGAAATGGACGAGTCCATCGAGGAATCGCGGGAACTAAGGCGCAAACTGATTGACACTCAGACGAATTTGGCCATAGTTAGATCTGAAATGGAAAAGCTCCGAGCCGAATACGAGGAAAAATGTGACCAATTCAACAGCAAGTGAGTAGTGTGGACGTTGCGTTATTATCATCTCAATATTGTTTTAATTTATTTTTATTTTTAGGCTGACCAGTGACAACGACAATTACGAAGAGGAAAGCGGTGCTCAGTACACAATCAAACGGTTGATGGACGACATAGGTAACGTACCATAAGAGTGACCACGTTCTATTTTCTTTAGTACAACAAAACTCTGACCGGTCTATTCCATTGCCGGTATGCGGTATTATTTAAAATTGTACGTGTACTTATTTTTACGCTCGTTCGTTTGCAAGGATGAATTGCAATATAAATATGTTGAAGGTATTCTCATCGGTTGAAATATTATTAAATTTGATAATTTTCGGATATATCTTTGATTTGTCGCTGACGTTTCGCACTGATTGCAGAGTCTATCTTCAGAGCGATCTTAACCTGTCACTCTGAAGGTGGGCTCGGCAACGGCCAAAGACGGACAAATCAATTACGGACACATCCGAAGATTATCGCCAATTATACAACGGTCGGTCTATCGAGTCACGTACATTTTTGTTTACATTGAATAACAATAATTTTACTACTGTTTGAGTTGTCGTTTTGTGTGTCCTCCGCCGAATTCTTATAGATAGCGGTCGTTCCACTCTTTTAGACTCCAACAACTATGCCAGGGACAGGGACTTGGCGGACGATATGTCCAACGACAACGCTTCCAGCGTCAACGCTCCTTACCATTCGGCCAAAACGGTAACCACACACACACACACACACTGTTTCTACTAACTTGTTGCGTGTACCAAGTGCACTGTGTTTCACTTGACCGCGGTTGGATTGGCTTTCAGATAGAATTCGAGGAAATGAGTTTGTCCGGCAGAGATCCGCATCTGATGCACGGCAACACGCCAATGAGTGCCATGAGTCTTAGCAGCTACGACATAGGCATCGGTGGCGATCCGGAGAGGACGTACAAAATAGTGTTCGCCGGCGATGCGGCTGTCGGCAAGACGTGTTTCATCCATCGTTTTTGCAAAGGCCAGTTCACCACCAAGCTGGGATCCACGTTGGGCGTCGATTTCCAAGTGAAAACCGTCAGGGTCGACGACAGGATAGTCGCTCTGCAGTTGTGGGACACGGCAGGTGAGTCGTCCGTCTTTCACGCATAAAGGTGCAGAGTAAAGTAAAGCAACGGTTGACCGATTCCTACAATCGTGACAAGGAAAAGATATATGATTAGGAATTAGCTCGTTGCAATTCGGACCACGAACGAAAAGTTGAAATGTCCAACGAAGCTACTACAATGTCATTTTCTTATGCATTTTATTTTGTACAATTTTAATCACATAGGCCAAGAACGGTTTCGTTCCATAACAAAGGCTTACTTTCGCAGAGCCGACGGGATCGTTTTGATGTACGACGTCACGAACGAGAGGACCTTCAATAACATCCGTCAATGGATGTTATCGATCATGGTAAATTAGTGTTATCTTGATGTACATATAGAAATAGTGATAGGTATGTGAGTTGGCAAGGATGGAAAATTACTAATTGCAACGGTTTATGGTATTTAATTACTATTTGTCATTAAATCTTTAACGCAAAAGTGTTTTTTACAACTATGGAGGCAATATCAAAGAACAGACTGGCGAATACTAAAAATAGGTTTTTTTTATAACTTTGTAGACGTGCCAAAAAATCTTCGAATTCAGTAAAAAAAATATTCAGATATTATATAACATGTTTTAATCATATATAGTTTTCTAGTCTATAAATTTAAAAAACTATTGCTTACTAAATAATTACTTATGTAATTCAAATATTTCTCTCCCTAGTTTTATATGTCTGTAGTAGGATGGCAAAAGTTTTTTGTATATTACTTTTTATAAACTTGTGGTATATCACTTTCTCCTTCTCAACATGTATACTAATTAAATATCAGTCTTTGATTAAATTTTATATGGCTGATATTATAATGATTATATTTATAATATTTGTAGAAACAACAAAACAATTTTTCGAAATTTAGTATCATTAACTTGTGTGTCATCCAACCACAGCTGTGAAATTATTATTTGACATAAGGCATTTAATTGTTTTCACATTTTAAATAATTTGTTTTATTGGTAAACATTTCCAAAACAAAGCTATTCCAAGAATAATTGTATCAATTATCTCAACTATTAATGTTTAATTTTGTCAATTTATAGCCGGCCAGTTTTCAGTAATACATTTTAAACAAAAAACACTTCACTTTCTCTCGTATTTAAACTTCAAAATTTTAACTTGAAATATTTACTCAAAGCTAAAATAGTTCAAATGGTTAAAATAGCTTAAATCAAAATTATTTTAAGATGGTGATAATTAAGTATAAAATATAGACATTTTGAGATGCCGTTAATTGTGATTTAATTTTAAGTACCTAATTATACTATCGAAAAAGAAACTTAAAAATAAGACTAGGCTATTATATTATTTGATAAACGATAATAAGCGTACTAGCTAAAATTAAAACACAATAATATGGAAACAACCAAAATCGACTGATGTTTTTGTTTTTTTTAACATTGTTAGGAAGTGTCCGACAAACCGTTGCCGGTGTGCATATGTGGAAACAAAGTAGACCTAAGGCCTGAAGCCCAGTCACAGGGTATAACATGCATATCCACCGATTGTGGTGAACTGTTGGCTCAGCAAAATAACGCATTGTTTTTCGAGACCAGTTCGAAGCTCGGCACGAACATCAACAACGCGCTGGTCATGTTGTCCAGGTGAGATACCGGAGACGCTATTTCCACACAGACTACATTTCATATATTCTGTGCTATTATTCGATCAGGTTAAAAAATAGAGGTGCCGGTTAAAAGAAAATATGTATAATAGCCCGTTTCGTTAGCTTTGGATTGGAAATATTTGCTTGATAGTAACATAGTGAAAGTTATAAACTATGTATGAAAACCAAAAGCAATTTATTTATACAAATCGACATTCACAAAACTTTTGTTATGTGTCTTCATAGAGATCTTCAAAGTTCCCAAAGTATTTATCAAGATTTGTCTTTTGTGAAATAGTACTTTAAAAATATGTCTTGAATTCCTTTTTTTTTTGTACTAACGTTTTTTTAAATACCCAAAACGACGCCTGGTTTTGTTTACATTAATCGCGTGCTGCACGATATGTTGCCTATTCTAAACGCCTTAAAAAACCGGTGTAAGCGTTTGGTTTCCAACAAAAAATTATCTTATTGATTCAATTTAGAATTATTATTGTCGTCAGTCGGACGAACAATTATTAATGTTGATATTTTATATTGAACGTTTCAGAGAAATGTTGATCAGAGAAGATGTTGACATTCAAACGTCCTCGATGATCATGGTGGAACAAAATAAGAAATTGAGATTGAGTTCACCGTGTTGTTAAGATTAAGCGAGTCGTCGAGGTTTGCTAGATAGTAATTATTATTTTCGATAAAACGTTTGTGGTTTTAAAAAGCCATAACATAGTTAATTTTTTGTAACAATGATATACCATTTACATATGTAAATATCGTGTATCGTTCTAAATTTGTACAAGGAAATCGACCCGGTTAAACAAACATTATTTAGTAGCACTAAACATTTATTACTGTTATATTTTACTCTATAAATTATAAATACAAATAATTCGTCTAAAATAGTTATATAATATATATGGAAATAGTTTTCATAATATTCCAACAAGTTGTTACTACTAATAGTTTTCAAAACATATATTTTGGCCAAAACCAGTTAGCGAATTAAAAAAACTATATTATATTTATTAAATAATTTTCCCAAAAAATATTTACATAATTTATGTTAATAAATAATCTGTAGAACCCGTAAAAATGCATTTTTTTTTGTACAAACACAATATAATATAATTTTATGTTGTTATTATATTGTTTTAATCTATTTAATTAATAATTTTTTTCCAAATAATTAAAATATACATACGCAAGCATTAAGTATATTTATTTTGATTTTTTAGTCGTTTTTCCAGACAAACAATATTATATAAAAACAAAAACTTTTGCTTCAGAGATTAAAGAATTTAATAGCAAAAAGTCAAGTTTAAAGTTACATTTCTGATAACTTTAAAGTTCAGCAGTTATTTTTTAGAAATTAGTTTTATTATGAATTTATTGTTCCGTGCTTCCGAAAACTGTTCAATATAACCGTAATAAATATGTAAAACTATTTTTATTTTAAATATTTTATTTTCAGTATTGAGACATATCTAGATAACTATTTATTTTAATAATAAAATTAAAGTGGTATATATTACTAAAAACCGATATTTGACAAAAAAACTTCTCGTCTTAATAAATTCCAATCCTAGACATTGTGTTTTAATTTAAGTGCGTTTAAAACCAATATTTATTCTATAAAATATTGATTTATTAAACGCAATTTTTTTTTTGTTACAAGTTAAATTTTTTTTTGTGGATTTTTGTTTATTCGGAATTTACGTAGGCTATCTTACAATTTAAGTACGTTATTCTGAAAAACAATCAAGTAATTCATTTTATCGTTCTCGTCTTTATTAAAAACTCAGAGAAGAGGGCCCGAGGAAAGGGGTTGATCGTTCTTCAGTCGCTCTTCCCTAATGGAGAGAGAACTCCACGTTTGATCATCCGTAAGCTACCCCCTAATAATAAAAAAATACAGTTAAAGGTGGGACGAGAGAGGATCTTGGAATAGTAATTGTGTCGTTCGTTGTGAAAGTGGTGTAACTCCAAATTTTATAATATACATATTTTTGCTTAATGGAGTCACATTTAGTCATATTATCTTTCATTGTAAATGAATACTTGTATTTTTTATTTTTTACAACACAAAGCTTTGTTTACAAAGCAAGGCTTTTATTTACAAAAAGCTCGTTTTTTCAAAATTCAATAATTGCAGTTCACATTTACAATTAACGACACAATTCTTGTCCGCTCCCTCCTGAAGACAACTATATACTAGGCTAGTACCCGAGTCTCTACGAGATGCTTACATATGATATGGTAGTAAATCTTGGTTTTTTTTTTTTGCAAATTTAATAATGTATTTCCAAATCACAATTTTACAGCCAACAGGTGGTGATCGCCACGTCGCGCGTTATACGGACATTTAACCATTACGCCATTTAAACATTATTAATGTTGTTCCCGGAATACCTCCGGTTCCGCAGCGTGTGAACGGAAGCGCACCGAACCGTGCAACATCTTCTTGGACCATCGGTCCGATGTCCGTGAAGTCAAGTGACCCCCCCCCCCCAAAAAAAAAAGAAAGGCAAAAAGGGAAACAACCGGTGGCATTTGTTGGTCCGACCCTGGGCCGTGTTGCACGTTCATTTGTTACCGTCGTCTGTGAAAATGTGTAGCGCAGAAGACCGCCGTCGGGGAATGCGAACCACCAACGTCTCGTTTCTAATTGAAGGCCAAACCGAGTGTTCTCCGAATTTAAAAAAAAAAAAAACCCCACTAATAATATCTATATAATCACTATATAGCGCGGGTTACACTATAGGCAGGTTACCTATATAGTCGGGTTGGCTGTTGTGTTATAATATTATTATTGTCGGTAGGTACATAGCTATCTCTAGCTGGTATGTTCTGCTATGGGTAGCTATGGTGTGCGATACCGTGTGTACACACACACACACACACACCGCCGGTGGAGGTTTAACGCGCCCGCACACAATGCACCGCAACCTATTTATGCTTAATTGACCCTGAACCCTGTATAATTCACCGTTAAAACAGTGTGTAAAAAAAAAACCCAGTGGCGGTGTGTGCCCACGACGAATGAGCCAGCAGCCACAATTTGGTCGGGTCGTTTGTTTGATACGATATAATATTATTATATTATTCTTGTATACACTATAGTCGGCCGCCGAGCAAACAGGCAGTAGGTATTTTCACGTTGCATGCGATTTACTTCACAGCAACAGCCGCAGCAGCAGCTGTATCGTTATTAGCTCTCACGGTGCAGTATTTTTATTTTTTCTGTATTTTTCGTTTATTTAATAATTATTATTATTATTGTTGTTCCAATACTACTCGAGTGTTTTTTTTTGTGCTTTTTTTGTGGTTGTTTTTTTCTTGTAAATATTATAGGTCGTGTACGCGCACAGTGCAGCCCGGCCGGCACCCACGCGCCCACCTGTTGCACACGGCGAATCGTTCCACCCGCTCCAGCGGCAAGTCGGCAGTGATCAGCTGCCATCATCATTCGCGACCGACGTACTTACCCCAAAAAGACGCCAAGTATGTGTCAAATTTGCCGTAACTACCATAACGCTCCCACCCCCCCCCCCCCCGCAAGTAGGGTCTTAAACCGAAATTTGCGATTTTGCCGACACGGCGGGTCTGCCTCCGATTTGTTCACATCGTTTTATCTGGAAATATTTTCCGAACATAATAACTCTTAAAATTGTAATTTCCAAAACGCTCGGCCGCTTTACACACATTATCGTTATTATGACAGTGGTTAAGGTGTAAAAAAAAAAACCATCCTGTTCCGCGGAGTTACCTTGAATTACTCGGTCGATCACGTGCGTAAAAATACAAATACTTTAATTTCTAAAAAAAACATGTCTAAATTTAAAACGCACAGTGAAAACAACATAAAATATTATAATAGCGAAATTATTATACCGTCGGCAACCGCGGTAAGGTCTGGCTGCCGTCGGTCGGATGGGGAACGGGGGGATCTCCTCCGAGGAAATATGTTAATGAGCCGTTACGCCGTTTTGTATCCAAAGCGGGTTAAGTTAAGTCTAGTACACCAGATCTAATAGTAATAATTTGTCGTCGATTAGTCAGCACTATCCGTCTGATGGCTAAATAATAATATAACGCGATTTGAACGGTTAATTATTAATTGGCATTAATCGCGCGCGAGCCCTCAATACAACGGGTTATTTTGTATTTTCCACATGAGTTCATCGGAAATTCGAATCATTATAATTAAGTACCGTTCAAATTCAACCGTTGAACGGTTGCTGTTAGTGATCTGCGACCGTAGGAGGGGGTGCAAAGTGTCCATGTATCTTTGACTTGTACAGGAAACGCGTTTAAATGCCGAAAACCGTACAGGATATGCCCGTGACGGAATATTATATTATTATAAAAGGTTTTCTATATATTAGCCGGAATTCTATCGACAGAGTTGTTCAAATTTCATGTTGCGTTGATTTCACTTTCAAAAAAACAATAATATTATACCTAAATATAATATATATACTGGCGCTTGCCAGTAGGATTGTAAGAATTAAACATTATTTGTACTTGTTAACGATAAATACAGCTTAAACTGTCTTGCACTAAATTTGCAATTTATACCAAAACGTTAGCTCCCCCCGCCACTTATATAGCGGCTTGGTACCGCATTAGATTGTATTTTTAGTCGTTAAAAATAGTTTTCAAAAATATTATTTTAAATAGTAGATTTGTCGGCTTGTAGAATGGTAGAATAAAATAAAATTATATCATTATGTAGATAGTATAATGACGATTTTTCTTAGCTTCAAACGAAATAGATATTATGGAAGTCGGGATGTACGAAAAACATTCATTCGTGGCACATAATTTGTTTTTATTAAAAAAGTATTTTAGTTTAAGAAAAATTAATTTAATATATTCATAGGCAGAAATTAGGGATAGCTGTGGGGCTAATTCCGCTTAGATTTGTTTGTGTTTATCTGTAACACTTACATAAGCTTTATGAGCAAAATATAGACATTGATAAACGGATTACTGTGTAAAGATTTATTTTCTGATAACATATATATATTCTTGGTATCTAGAAAATAATATTTTTATTTTAATTATAATATTTAAAATTTTAATAGTTGAAATCTGTACCTCGAAAAAGTGGCTACATACGATTGTATTTGATTTAAACAAATTGTTTGACCCTATATTTTGTTATTAGGTTTTTTACGTTAAAAATAAGTTCGACTTAAGCAGTCTTAAACTATAATTAAAATATGAAATTAATGAAATAGCTGGAACATTTTTACCTAAATGGTTAGCTCCCTCCCATTACCCCCTCTCTCCCAAAAAATCATAGTGACTCAGTTCCACCAATGATTATGTTAAATAACAAAGCAAGATTACTTTTTAAGTATTCTAATCAAAAATGTTTTACAATATGCTAGTTCTATGGGAAAAACTTGTAGAAAACTAATGGCAATGTCGATCCAGTTTTGAACAAAATGCTTCTCAAGTTATTATCGTGAAAATATTTGTATTGTTTGTATTTTAGTAATTGCACTTATACATCACCAAAGTATTTAGAATAAATGTTATATTAAATATTTGTATAGCGTTGTAAAGAAATTATTCAAATTTATTTTTAACACTTTTTTTAAAATAATACTCATAACGAGTTCTCTCATTAGCTTATGACGGCTAATAGATATGAAAAATTATCTTATAACATCCGTATGTTATATTGTAAATATATCAAGTGATGATTATCCTTATATAATATGATTCCTCATTGATACGAAGAAGAAAATAAAGCAACAGAGTATACTAAACTGAATCAATTATCTTTTTAAATGGTATGCAACTAAGTTAACTTTACAAAAATTATCTATCTATCCGAAGCTCACGCCTTATTCTCATTGCCATTTTTCAAAGAATCAACAAATAAATTCATATTCTTATCCGATACATAGAAATTGTATTTTTATGTTAAATTTAAGGGTTTGTTTTTAATACTATACAAAATGAGCACATAAACTTTATTAAACTTAATATTAACTGGCTTAACAGAACCTAATTGATGACTAGATTCATACAGATTTTCTGAAATACTATGGGTCCTATTTTTTTTTTAAATAATTGTTTTCGCTAAAATTAATTATACGATTATTATGATTTATGGTAAAAAATAAATATTGTTAGGTCCGAGATCAAAAAAGTGTTTTAAAGAACGAGTTCTGAGAATAATTGTTCAAAGTCAAGCTAACAAATAAGTACAAATAGGTAGATATTAAAGTGTGCTCAAACACTTGACTTAGATAAATATTTTTTTTAATAATATTTTAAATTAAGACAAAATTATTTTCACAAATCAAATTGTAATTAAGGTTTTTTTTAACTAAAGTAGTAATTGATAAAAACATAAAATAATCTATTATAGAATGTATGTTCTAAATGTTGTGTGCGTGACACTTAATATAATTTAAATTATTTTACAATTTTTCATTCGTTTTAATATTGACAATTTAATTGTTTCAAATTTTCTTTTAGCCCAGAACTCGGGGGGCCAATAGCCAAAATCGTTATCGTCCTACTTTTCACCTTTTTTTCTCTTGACCAAACGTCGTCCGAGCTCTTTCGGATCGCGTCTAGCCTCGATTTACCGTGCCGATGACGTATAAATAATCGCAGTGTCTCCTATTGTATTTCGTGCATCCTCCCTCGCGCTAAATTTAAACCGATACAAGACAGGTAGGTACCACTTGGCGTTTGGAGACCATATATTATAATGTCCAGCAGCAGCTGGAGTCTGACCATTAACAACGGGCGATGACAATGCGGTTTCCGGATTTGCACATTAAATGTGGTTTACCGGCCCTTTCGGATTTTGCCAATCCAGACTTCAGCTGGACTTGACGGGCACTGTTGTTGTCACCGGGCAGAGGGTAATAATATTATTATAGTGTTATCGAACGTGCATCGCTAACGTCCTGTGGCTCTGTTTCGTCCTACTACCGGTCGACCGCTGCGGTGTATACATTACAATATATATTTTGTTATACCTATTATCCGGATACAATAGCCGATATTGTAATTATTATTCCAATTGGCAATTGCAATAATAATATATATCTCTCTAATGGCAATTAATCACTACCGGGGATTCGACAAACGCCGGTCGTAAAACGACAAATTAATGAATAATGTCAGGCACGCTCGTGTGGCGTATTATTGAGAAAATATTTTCCACGCATTTTCGGATAGACAATATAATAAAATGAAGGCAAAAAAAAAATGTACGAGAAAAATTCTATTGCACGACAGAATACAATGGGCACGCGTGTTGTAATTTACTTGGTACACACCACCGCTAGCGCCGCCACAATGATCATATCGGGTATAAAAATACTGTAAACCCACAACTGTACAGAAATTCTAAAAGCGGTTCGAAAACGTTTGCCGGTTGAATTTTTTACCCGTAGATGGCGCAGACGGTAGTCTGTGTAAATAATTTCGCGTTTCGCATAACAATGTTTGGTTTTAAAAAATGTAGGTAGGTAAACGCAATTTTCGATTAAATAAAATAAAACAAATACAAGAGCTGTTGAGCTAGCTTAAATTACAACATAAGTAAATGTTCTATCTAATCCAACCAGAGAATCAGAACACGGGTACGCGTACAGTAATAAATGTAATCGTTTTCAGGCCCTTAAACTGAAAAAAAAAATCGTTCTACTAAGTTCTGACTATCAATCGTAAACGTGTTAAAAATAAACGAGCAAAAGAGTTAATGACTTTATTGTATAGAACTCAAAATCTTGATTATACACCTAGTTAAAATTATTAAACTTTTTATAATACTTGCTGAAAAAGTTGACTGGTCAAACCCCAGTTTTGAACAATTACTTTTGATTTGTTGAAATATTAAATTAAAAATGGCGGTGTACCTACTTAAATTGTTTAAAACGAGGGTGGCATAGTTTTTATTTTTTACTACAGATATCGCATTGGCATTTGGATAAAATATTGTTTTGTGTACACAACAGGCCCGAATGCGTAACATGTGATATCATGTTTAATATTATATTAACAATCGATAAAAAATACAAAATGGAACAAGGGAAACCAAAAATGATCCGCGATTTAACTTAATTTATACAACTAAACCGGGCACCTTTACTTCTCACGATTTTAACCATACCTTTATCAAAATGTTAAAATCAAACTCATGTACTATTTCTATTTCTTCCGTCTTTATTGTCGAAAGTTACTTTGTCCAATTATTAAATAGTGGTAATTTATTTTCTATATTTACACGATTTTTCACTTTTGTTGTTCAATAGGCTGGGTGAATTATACTTTTGTCTCTACATACATATAATAGCTTGTAGGTAAGCTGTCTTCTCTCCTCTTTCCATCAGCTATTTTGGACAGTTGAAACGCTCAAAGTAATATTAAGTTGTGTGTGCTACGTTGTTTGCGATTACTCTAATTGAACTGGGTAGTAATAGGAAAAGGAGTACTTAGGAATACCCGATAAAGTGTGTTGGGAAATTTCCGAAAGTTCAATTTAGTTGTCGGGTATTAAATGTACAACTATCTCACGGGTATGTCTACACATGTCTACAGTGGAGTAAGGCATGTTTTTTATATTATTTAACATTCGATGGGCATAACATTAGCTATCAAATGGATTTTGCGAGGTGGAACTGACGTTTGCCGTTTTTTGGTTAGCTATCTCTCGGTTGTCCCCGAAGGAGATTTTAACGACAGAGTGGACCGGATATATGTATACACAGTATTTCCGTTGAGAATATGTACATAGGTATATTGCTTTAAGGGATGATTTTAAAACGTTGCGTATGTGTGTGTGGACATTTTTATAATTTCCAGTTGAGACAACAGCAACACCATGACGAAACTGTCGTCGGCTTCGAACAAGTCGTTGCAACTGACCGGCATCGGGCTGGCGGTGCAGGCGTTCTACATAAACCTGACTTTGGACACCGTGCTGGGAGGCGAGTACGTTCAGCTGAGGCCGGCGGGTCCGCCGGTGATCAACTCGGCCGGCGTGTGGGGCGTGGACCAGGTGCCGCAGGGGTACGCCACGGCCGGCAGCAATCTGGCTCTAAACGGTCTGCAAGCTCTGCAGTCATTCGGCGGCAACAAGGTCGACGCCAACGGGTACAAGGACCAGAACGGATACTATCTGAACAACAACGGCGTGGAGAACGGATACGACTTGGGCAACACATACGGGGGTTGGTTGCTGGCAAACGAGCAGATTGAACACGTTGTGACGGCTGTAGTTAACCGATTGATTTTGTGTGCCCCCAAGGTGTCAACGACCGCGGTGTGACCAGCGTGGAAGGCGGAGCGTACGGCGGCATCAACGGCCGGAACAAGGGGCATCAGGTGGCCGGATTCAGCACTTCCTATCAGAAAAACGAGAGCGGTAACAAGGCCACGTACTACGACGACGGTCTGGGACACGGCGGAGTCATCCAGTACGGTGCGAAGGACCAAAGGTAAGAGAACCCGAACTGATTATTTAAATTTAAAAAAAAAACGACAGCAACCTCCTAACGAACCTAACCTAACCTACTCCATCCACCACACTAAACCACCAAACTAATCTAACCCAAGCGACCGAACGATTCAAGGTACGAGGCCGATGATGGCTGTTTTCAAGTATACGACTAAATCCTGACTCGTTCAAATCAATCCAACCGTGTTCGTCAAACCTTATCTTGTTAAGTTAGGTGTTATAACACATAGGTCAGTGCGATTATGTGTAAGCACCGAGTGAAAAAAATATAGTAGCATTACTTAGGGACTGCAGTCGTTTATTCATAGCCATTTCATTGCTTTAAGACTTACAATCTATAACTATTTTCAGATAACAAAGCGCTCTATCCCTCTTACTTCTACTCACACATCTTAACATACCTAGTGCATTTATCCAATCGTTAAAATGTCGTCTTAATTTTTTAAAAGCAAATTTATAAGTATGTTTTATTTAATTTATATCAATTTGCATGTCAAATGACCATGGTTAATATAGTCGCTAATAACCATGTTTATTTATTTTCCAAAATGTATTACGGCAATACATTTATGTACGTATTACATATAAGGTATAAAATATTATTTCGTATAGGACTGTCGAGAGAAATGTTGTAACTTCTTTGAATTTTTACCAACACTAATTAGCGCTATTTGACATTGGTTAACGGGTTATATTTAATTATTTATGGTTATTTATTTGCCGTGATGCAAAACTGCTGATAATTATGTGGAATGTATGTTTTGTGAACTTATGTTGCCATTACGATCAGCTTCCCACCCCGAAATCCTTTTACCAACTCGTGTAAACATCAATCTTTAACACAATATTTTATCAGAAAATAAGTATGATAAGGATGTGGGCAAGGTTTCAACAAACTAATGTATTTCAAATTTTCCAAAAATATCACTACAAGTAATGTCATCTGATAAAATAGTAAGTGTCCTCCTGGCTCCTCTCTCTTCTTATGTAAGGAACGAGTAATCGAAGTCATTGGTGCCAATAAATATACCATTAGGAACGAATATGAGTGGAAATAGAGGTAGAACAAAAAGAAAGACCGAGATGACTTGAGTTAACAATGTTAAAAGAATAGCTCACGGTTGATCGCTGAACGTTGATGAAGAAGCTACAAATGGTTAGGTCTGTTTGGCGTTGTTAAGTCCGCCCATTGTAAAAAATAAATAAACATTTTCGTGCCCCGTATGGCCTTTATTCGGAGAATGTGTTATTGGTCGCCAAAGAGTAGAGCACTAATTATAAAATAAAAAAAGTCGTGAAAAAACGCCAATTATTATCACAGACCGTAAATCAAGCGATTACACGGTCAGTGCCCATCGACGGTTATTGGGGTCATATGTGTGTATGTGTACATTATGTTATAGCGCTGTAATCATATTATTATTATAATAACAATATTACACCCTCCGCCGATTATGAATGAATAACGAACCGTGTTATGACCGTTCCGTTTTGCAAAAAAAAATTGATTTACCTTCTGCTTTATTATGCGAGGCGCGTTATCTATGTACATAATCGTTAAATCTAATTATCATTGTTTTTTTATACACGGCGGCCGTTGTCTGGAACATTAATAACATTATAATTCCTCGTCCGAATAGCGCACACCGGTTGTTTACATACATACCGTTACCTCCGGTCTACTACTCATTGGACGATAAAAAAGATTATTGTATAGGTAGAGTGTAGAAACGCGTTTAATCTAAGTCCAGGTTCCTTTGTATAATGCCGAGGAAAGATGGAAGAGGGGATCCAAAATGGGACAAACGTTTTAAAACGGATTAAATTTAACAGGTGCGCCAAATAATAGAAACACTAACAGGTGGAGTGAACATTTTTGTTTGAGTATACTCATTTGATTTGAATAAGCGACCTCCGATGTGATTTAAGGTATGATTAAAAGTGATTATTTACCGACGAATTTTTTAAGTCAAATAAAAATGGGAGTTGTTAACAAATAATGTATAACAAAAAAAAAAAAATACAGATTGAAAAAGAATAAGAAGAATTTAAGATATTATCAAAACCGGAGCGAGTGAATGAAAATGTATCAGATGAATATTTTGATGGCTATTCGTGTAAAATAATTATAATGCAAGCGTTTGAACAGATTTTTAATTTTTTTTTAATATTCAATAAGGCAGCGTAGTTTGCAATAAAATTGGGCTGTGATTTTTGTAGGTTTAAAACTTAAATGCTCTCAGAAAACATTTGCACCGATATCACAATATTAAGGCGATTGGGTACCGGCCTTAATTAAGGAGTTGTGGGTAGGCAATTTCTGGTTATTTTTCTGTTACGCGTTGTCGTTGTGTGCGTAGTAAATGAATATTAGTGAGAGTGTTGTTATCTTACCCTCCCGACCTCGCACCCGTCTAATTCGTTGTTGAAATGACTATCGTACGCACACGCACAAGTCGGTTACAACAGCTACTGTTCAGGATTCGTACAATTTTATGCTGCAAAACTACCCATTTTCCTTCAATCAGTCCGAACGTCGTATTGATGCGATAAGACTTCTGAAAATCAATTTGAGTTCAGTGTGAAGTCTACTTGAGATCGGTCAGGCCACTTTTCCAGTTTCATTTAATAGTATTTTTTAAACACTACTACAAGATTTAACATTTTTCAAAAAATTTAAATCAAACTTGTGGAATTTTGAGGGCAAAATTAAAAAATGTAAGCTGACCGATCTCAAGTAGACTTCATGCCGAATTAATAAATATTTTCAGAAGTCTTATCGCATCAATACAACGATCGGACTGATTGAAGTAAAATGGGTAGTTTTTGACGGACAAATTGGCCGATACCCAATGGCCTTAATATCGAAAACCAACAGTCAACTAACTGCCTAAAAACTTTGAACTCAGTATAGTTAAACTTTGAGCGTTTCGCTTATAACTGAAATATGATGTCATATTTTTGAAATGTTTACACAAATAATGAAGCATACATGCGAAAAATCTAAAAAAAAATGGGAAAATCGTCGAAATAGTAAATGTGTACTTGTAATAAAATATTTTTCAAGGAATATAATAACTAAAATAGACTAATGTCCTTTCTAGATCTTGTCGGTTCATTAATCAGTAGTAATGAATTGTAATACATTATAATACAATTTTAGTACATATAAAAAAATCATTAAGTTTTTACAAAAAAAAAACAATTTGACTACTATAATAATATAATATATAAACATAATTTCTGCATATTTGTATAGTGTCTGTTAATTTTTGCTCGTACACGAAATCAGCTAGATAATAACATTTTTAGCCACAGGCGGGCTGAATTATGTATCTATATACTACTCTTAGGACTTTGAGAAATTCAAAAATCTGTAATCTGTTTCAGGTTCCGAGACGGCGCAGGGAACGCTTTCGGTGGCGGTTTCCACGACTCGTCGGTCAAGACAAACGCGGCCGGCCAACAAGGGCAATTCGGCAACGGCGACGGTTACCACACGGCGGGCGGTCAGGCGAACGACGCAACCGCCGGTTCGGTGTACGGCGCGGGCGGCGGCGGCGTCGGCGGCAGCGTGGTGGCCGGCACGCCGTTCCTGGTCAACACGGTGGAGCCCAGCCCGCCGGTCATCCACCTGCCGCCGCAGTACGTGACCCAGCCGCCGCCGTACTTGCCGCAGGCCCAGTACGTGCCGCAGGCCCAGTACGTGCCACAGGCCCAGTACGTGCCGCAAGCCCAGTTCGTGCCGCAAGCGACGTACGCACCCATCGCGCCGCAGGTGCCCAACCTCTACCAGGGAGTGCTGCCGCAACTGGCGCCGCAAGGCCAACAGGGGGCTTATCAGTCGCCCTACGGTGTCCAGCTGCCCGCCCTATCGTTGAGCGCCCGGTCGCCGTCCGGACAGTACGTGGTGCCCATGCCCCCCAAACTGTACGTGGACAAACCCAACGCCACCGACAGCTGAAGCACCACTTAGATTACAACACAGCGCTATAAATATGTATACAGTATACTTATATATTATAGATAAAAATACATTATATAAAAAAATATATATATATATATATATATATATATATATATGATATGTAAATATATATTTTTTTATATATAATATATACTATATTAAAGTAGTTACCATTACAACTATAATCATGACATATTATATATGCTTTACATATATATATACCATATTTTATCACTACCAAAATTGTTTTTATATTATAATATATTATTATCTAATTTTAATTACAATTCTTATTATATTGTTTTAATTGTATAATATTATCATAAAATATTTTAACATTAAGAATGTCTTCTCACTCGCCCCTCGCCATTCACATTGTCTCTTCGCGCTCTCTTCTATCACTTTAGTATGAGTTATGATAAAACAAAGTGGTAACTTGTCGACCAGACCTATTAATCTCTTAATTTTGTTCTACCTCAGTAAAATTACATAATACTAGCGTTTACTTTTTTTTGGTGGTTTTCAGCACTTACCGCTTCGAGTAACAGTTTTCGTTAAAAAAAAACAATTATTATTACCTATTATTAGTTTAGTTTTTATCTATTATTATATTTTTGTAATTCGGTCGTGTCGGACCAAATCGAATGTCAGACCCGCCACTGGGATGTACTCGATTGAATATAATATATACATGCTGATAACATAATTCAGTCTACTAATATCTATGTTTTATGTGCTACCTTAACACCCCACCATAACCTACCCTACCCTATCTTTACACTTTACAATCTTTTTGATTTTTCCACACGGTAAGTCACTTAACCGCAATCATGCTTCCGTTTCTGAACGTATCTCTTAATCTATATATTTTATCATCATTTCTTTTTCCACTTTTGCTACAACTTTCAAACTAGTTCTTGTACACTCATGTGTATATTGTCTCTGTCGACTCTGAACGTTTTAACTTATACACTACAAATAAAACTTAATAAAATATACTTTAGCTCGGTAAAATCCCGTTTACGAGATGCGGTGCTAGATTAATTTATTATTGAATTCAACCGACTGACTGGTAATCGTCGTGGACCACTCATACGACCCTTTCGTGTAATCCAGTTCCTGTAGGTTATTTTTTTAAAGTCAATCGCCGTTTTTTTATTTTTATTAGACTACTCAGAATTCCCTCCGCGCTCGGCCCATCCTCTGGGGACGGCCGAGATTAGAATTTGACCCTCCCTCGCCTGCGTGCGCCTTCCAATATATATTACATACACTAGCCGGCATAATAAATTCCGACACTGATGGAAATCACGAACATTCTGATCGATTCCCCAAACAATCAGTACACAGACGAACCCGGAACGCAAACACAATTTCGCGCGGTAAATATTCATAAAACAACAATAAACCTTCCCATGGTACGTTAAGCCGTCGGCCAAACCCAAACCTAGTGCACAGGTGCAATGGACCAACGGTATCCTACTTGTTTAGTTGTAGATGTAGATGATTTGTGATGATTTGTTTGATGTAGCAAAGAGAAATCAATGATTCAAGTCCTCGCGTTTTTCTTAGAAACAGTTTTCCTCGATCAGTCGAAACCTGCAAGACAATTATTATTGGGTGTTTATAGGACATATTCTTGAGTAATTTGTTGTCCCTGCATGAGTATCTTCAGGGATAAAACTTATTAAGACCACGAGGTCTAAGGTCTCGGGGTTTCATCTTGGCAGAAGTGTGGATGATACATGATAAGCGCATTAATTAGCAAGCGTGTCAAACGTACACCAAACATTAATAGAAAACGTTTACTCATATCATACATATAAGTTTACATTCAAGTTTTTTTTATCAATATCTTGTTCAAGTTTGAGTTTTTAAAAAATTCATTTGGACACAAGATATACCTTGTGTGTATCTTGATACAATTTTTTTTTAATTATAGACAAATTTATTGCCAAAAAAATCTATGAGCTATTCAATATTTCAAGAAAACTTTTAATTATTTATAACTCAATTACTTGATTTTGCTACTGACAATTTATTAATTATATTTTCTTAAATTGTAAGAATTACTTTGCCTATTAACAGTGATGACTAACTATTGATGCTGCGCAAAAGTTGTACTTGTATTATACATTATACTTGTAATATTTTCTATAACAGACTGAATAATAATATGTCATATAGTATTATCGCAAATGGACAGATTATGATAATGTAAATAATGTTTCTGTATATAAAAAAAAAAAAAAATAGGAAGACCATACGATAAATGGCAATAAATCAATAATTGTCGGGTGGCCTATTATCATTTTTGTTTGTCCCCTTTTGTGTTAAATCCTCGTGTATATATATTATATTACAAGCACGAGGAAAAGTCATCTCGCGCATGATAATAACAATATTATACAGTAACTAATCGTATTATAAACCCTCTGAGCTTGTGCTATTTAAACGGATTACCACGCCCAGCGATTACACACACACACCGTCCGGTCTATATAACATAATAATAATATAAAATAGCTGGTACGAGGGGGGGTGTAAATATTATGATAGGGGAGGAGGACAATTTGCGATTTTCATTATCTCGCATGATTTATTGCCTTCCTACCCCCGGCACGACGATACGATAATAATAATAATAATATTTAACAAATCAATATATTGTACACTTATGATCAAAATATGTATACAATGTCTACCGTGTAAATTTAGTACTCTGTATGACGTTATATCTTTATAGGTACATAATATTATGTTATAAAACGATGCAGTTGTAGAGGTATCCCCAATAAAATCCAATATTATCTCTTTTAGCGAAACGTCACAGATTATTATTAACAATGGTAAATTTTTGTGTTGAAATAGAATATATTATTATTGTTATTTCTGGCGTTTCATCGACGTTTATTATGTCGGTTTCGCCCTCGATAAAATGTAATTGGCTTTTAGTCAGTGGCGGCCAATAAAGTCAATAATATATTATTGTATATAATATTATACAAGCGCACGTGCCGTACAATATACACCACAAGCGTGATTGAGATAATATTAAGTATCTAACAGTATCGAAGACTTTTTGATGGACACCTAAAATCTAAAGTCTGAACTCAATGTCATTTTTAAAATATTATACTAAACAGAGAATCTGTGTAGTTTGCACCTTGAAATCGGGAAAGGAATTTATTACACAATATTAATAGGTATACTGTATACATTTTTTAATCAATATGCTATATATTATCAAAGATAAAGAGTTTTTTTTTAACGAACCATGATTGTTATTGTATTTCGTCAGTGTAAGGACTACCCGTGAAAACTGGTCAATGTCAGACTAAGATATAAGGACCACATATTATAATATTATAACAGTTTAACATTGACCATAGGTATACACGAATAATGGTACTATGTAAAAATATAATTAGTTGTTTTCAAGACAATTAATTGATTTCCATCGCTTTGGTGAATAATAGAGATCATTTTATTTTATAATTTAAAACGGTAATAGCCTAAAAGAGAAAACAATCGTCTATTATCCATGTACAACTGTAGTCATCAGGGCCGGATATTTACGGTTGTGCCACAATGGGTCGCGGCCGTGAAATTGTAAATCAAAATTGTATGCTTACGCCTATGTACCTTGAAAATCAAATAGAGTACTTGATTTTCGCTATTAAGTCGTTTTCCAAACTGTAATATTACCTATTATGTTATTTGATTCTTTTGGCAAAGTGTGTATAATAACAATTTTCATTTTATTAGACTGATAATATGTTCATCGGACTGCTTCAAAGATTTTTCTTTTTAAGAACACCACATAAAAAATCAACCAATTACAAGTTATTAAGAAATCGTTGACATTTTGAACTAATCATTATTTTTAAGTGTTGTGCTTGTGTTTTCAAAATAACTTTTAATTTGTTTGTAACAATCTCGAACAAAACAAGAAAATTAGAGGCTAAATTTATAAGTTTTACTTTATTTTCAAAAATAAAGGTAACACTTGAATGTATAAAAAAAAACTTTTAGCTCCAATTTATTTGCCGAAAATGTTGTCTGGTCGATGACCATTTTGGAATAATTATTTTTATAGTTATTATAGTTTAAAATTTAGGACAGAGGTTGTTCAACAATGATAGAAGTGCGCTTAAGAAATGTGCGAACATAAAATAATGGTTATAAGTCAATATTTTTAATAAATTATTCTTAATTTATAAAGTGAATTAAAACTTTTTAAAATTTGTAGACCTCTAGAATTTACCAAAAAAAATATTAATATTGCCTACTACTGGTAATATAACTTGTAACTAAAATGTCTAAAATTCTACGAAATTGTAATTATTTTCAGAGATAACGAGTGTCTTGAGCGTTAAACGAATTGCCTATGTATATGCTTGGTAAACAATATAGCTGTTTTTGTGCTTGCACGCACGCTTACTTATTTAATTGATGGTTTTGTTTAAAATTGTATTTTGCCTCGACTACCGGCAGTGGCCATTGACTAAGATTTTGTGCCATGCCGCGTTCACAATGTCGAGCAATTATATATTGTGCGAATAAGCTTTAGGCTCGTCTGCGATATTACATGCAAAGGTCGGTCGTTTCCACGCTATACCCCGACCGTTAGCTTTTAAATGTTTTTGCACTAACAATAACAGGCGTATCCGCCGCACTTTGTGTTTTAATTGACTGTCACTTTATTATAATATAGTGACTTGAAGCGCTCGTTTCAAATGCCTTATTGAGATAATTAGAAAACGCCGCCGGAGGCACGATGAACTCGATATAAATTATTAAACCTCCTTTCGCACAGACCTTTCCTCGAAATGGCCGTTAAACTTTCTTAATTAATATCGTAACAAACAATGTTAATCCGCAGACGCGCGCAAATGTATTGACTATTAAGCGCAAAGGACGACGTTTAACTGATATCGTTGGTTTAGTGTGTTGCAAATTGCCATAAATAATACACTAGGTGTCCCTAAGTATATAAGACGTTGTCTAAACAATGTCTTAGGGACGAGGTCCAT